GGAATTGCGTTTTCGTAGTTATACAAGTACAAAATTTCTAAAATTTTTTGAGTTAGAAAATATTTTTAATAAAATTATTCCACTATAGTCTTTTATGGTTGCTTTTTTATTTTGTTTGTAGTTTTGGGTAATATTGTAACATTTTTTAATTTAGTTTTCGTAATTACATCAATCTGAAATTTCTACAATTTTTTATGTTGGGAAATTTTTTAGCAAAAAAATTTCACTCCACTCTTTTAAGCTCTATATCTTATTTTCTATTTGTTTTGAGTAATATCTTTACATTTTTCAAATTAAGTTTTCGTAGTTAGACCAGCTTAAAAATTTCTACAATGTTTTCTCGTTGGGAAATTCTTTTAATAAAAAATTTTACTGCACTATTTCGAGATCATTTTGTTTTTTATTTTTCTATATGTTTTGAATAATATTTTTACATTTTAGGATTTTAGTTTTCGTAGTTATACCTGGTAAAAAATTTGTGCAATTTTTTTATAAAATTTCACTCCATTCTTTCAAAGCTTATTTTTTTCTAGTAGTTTTTTTGGAGAATTTTTCTAGTAAAAAAATTTCACTTTTATGTTTCAAGTTCTTTTTTATATTTTTCTACTTGTTTTGAGTAATATTCTTACTTTTTACGAATTTAGTTTTTGTAATTACACCATTGTCAAATTTCTACACTTTTTTTGTGTTGAAGATTTTTTTTTCAATAACAAAAATTCATTGCACTCTCCAAGTGCGCGCTTTTTTTTCTTGTTGTTTTGAGTAATATGGTAACATTTTTATAATTTAGTTTTCATAGTTATACCATTGAAAAATTTATAAAAGTTTTTGTATTGAGGAGAATTTTTAATAAAAAAATTTCACTGCACTTTCTTAAGCTCTATAATTTATTTTCTCTTTTTTTAGTAATAATTTTATATTTTTGGATTTCGATTTTTGTAGTAACACCAAGTAAGAAATTTCTACAAATTTTTTTCGTTGGGTAAAAATATTCCATTACAGTGTTTCAAACTCAATTTTTTATTTTTCTAGTAGTTTTGTGCTAGAAAATTTTTGTAATAAAAAATTTCACTACATTGTTTCAAGCTCATTTGTTTATTTTTCTATTTATTTTGAGTAATATTGCTATATTTTGGGAATTGAGTTTCCGTAGTTACATGAGTACAAAATTTTTAAACTTTTTTGAGTTGAGAAATTTTTTTAATAAAATTATTCCACGACAATCTTTTAAGGTCGTTCTTTTATTTTTCTTATAGTTTTGAGTAATATTATAACATTTTTTTAATTTATTTTTCGTAGTTATACCGTTAAAAATTTCAACAATTTTTTGTATTGGGGACTCAACTCTTTTAAGTTCTATATCTTATTTTCTATTTGTTTTGATTAATATCTTTACATTTTTCGACTAGTTAGAAATTTCTACAATTTTTTCTGTTAATTTTAAAATTTGTGTATTGTAATTTTATTTTGATTAAATGTTGTATTTGAATAATTTAAATAAAAAGTTAAATTGAAAATTTTGATGCAGACGTGTGTTTGGCACAATGCACGAATTTGTTTGTCTACAATAACAACATATTTTAATTTTTTTTATAAACAAATGAAAAACAAAGAGTAATTTGAATTTATAATAAGTTTATCATAAAAATAATAAAAATTATTAAATATGTGTCTAAAATATATAAAACGTAGTTTTATATATTAATTTACCTAATTACCGTGAAAATGTCCAGCGTGGACAACTATTTTTTATTTTTTCTTAATGTTCAGCTCCGTTCTCCTCACAACGTAAATCGAAAGATGGATTCTTATTGGGCCAACATTGCGAATGCACTATGGGCCAAGTTGGCCTACTGAACAGGATAGATCGGTGAGTCGTAGGTTCACGGACCGACAGAGTGAAGTTCATGGTCCCGATAAGCCCGTACTACCAGGACCCACTGGTGGCCCAATATTATGTACGGATAAGAAGGTAATAAAACGAAGAAGAGTGCTGGAAAATAACACAATCCCTAACATATTATTTCATCACGAAATTTTTTTATTAAATGAAATTTAATAAAAATATAAAATAATAAAAAATATTTCTAGGTATTATGTTCTTAAAAAATTAAGAAATTTAATAAAGTTATGGTTAACAAAAGAGAGTATATTTAAACAGATATGTTAAGGCTTTTAGTTAAATCAATCAATCAATCGTAATTGCTTGCACGTAGACAATCTTGAACAAAACAAAGAAACAAACAATCTGCACCAACATGGTAATTCTTTTGTCATAATCCAATGGCTAAATATCGGATACAAGTCACGTGGCTCAAATATTGGATCGTTTTCGTTTTGGAGGGAGTTTTGTTTTCACTTGCATTAAACTTCTAAAAGGATTAAAAATATATATAAAAATCAAATAGATAGGATAAATCGGATTATTAAATAAAAATATTAAATCCAAAATAATAAAATGTATACTTTCTTAACGTAAATGATTGAATTGAAACCCAATCGAAATTTTAGTTCCAATCGCTTTAAATTCATCTATTATCGTATATAATGGGCACTCCTACAATTCAAGAACCCTAAATTTCACTTGGCAAGGAATGAAGAAAGCAATTAATATTCCTTGACAAGAGCGCATAAAAAGGGGTTAAAGAGAGTGGCTTCAATTGTTGCATGATTGAAGGCAATAGTTATGCAGAACAAAACAATCCTCTCCTCGCCCTATAATCTATTACGTGTCAAAAATATTGGCTCTCGGCGACCACGTAGTTACGTTCTCTTTCATTAAAAGAAAAAAGAAACTGAAATGCAGCACAATGTCCCTCACGTTGAAGACAACCACATTAGCGTTTACTGGTTTTTTGGACCTAACACTGTTCCTAAAAGAAATGTGTATTCATTAAATAACATATTTGCGCCTTTCATTTTGGCTGTCAGAAAGAAATTAGTCATTTCTTGATTACTTCTTTCCAAAAGATTATTAATTGCACTTCATACTAACATTCCTTTATAGTCTACCACTTTTAACACACCCTTTTCCACATTGATTCCATCTTTTTTTATCAAAAATTGTTGTTGCCTCGTTAAAGTTAAGTCTTAGCTTAAATGCCGGAAGCATCTAATGATGAGTAGCATCACAAGAGATAATGTGATAAGAAATTGTATAATAAAATTGGATATGGATTTTTTTTTAATGAAATAATGTTGTTAATGGTTTTCAGAAAATAAATGCAGAAAATGAAAATTGACAACAAATAAGTGAAAAGAAAAACAAATAGAAAATAAATTTGAATATTTGGTTAGTTGGGATAGAATATTTATACGTGAAAAAAAATAAAACATTTTGAAAATCGTATAATTTAATTGATCTGATAAGAGGTTAAGAAAAAGATAAAAATTAACAAGCACATGTAAAAAATAATACATCTCATAATTTTATTTTTTTTTCTTCTCTCCCTCTACAAAACATATCGAATTAATTATTATTTTTTTCTATTCTTCCCTTTCTTCTCTACTGCATAAGTGTTGTGATAAATAAAGTAAATAACTTTTTCCTTTGATCTAACAGTAAAAATAAAATCGCGAATGTGAGCGCAACGACATGACATGAACATGTGATTATGAGAATGTGTATGGTTTCATTTCAAATGTAACCGGTCAATAACCAATAGTTTGTCTGGCCCAGAGCAGAAATTCTTGAATTGATTGGAAATACTTGGTCCACAGATTAAACATTTCAATTCTTCCCACTAGGAATTGTGATGAAAAAATTTAAATTCCCCCTCCCCCCCTGACTTGCATGGTGAAAAGGAGAAAACTAAACGAAAACAATTTGACGTTGAAGATAATTTGTATTCTTGCTGGTGTTTTTCCGCGTTGAAGATATGGAGCAGTGCGGTAAAACATTATGGCTGAATTGGTAAATAATAAGTACAATAATAGCAAACAGAAAAAGTTAGGATAGAAATTGCTCTATTGACTTTATTCTTTGAAAAATACTTTATTACCTTACAAGTAATGTTATACATTTACATATAATAGTTACTTTTTCTCGAATAAGTTTTCTTTATGAATCTGAATAGCCACAACTGAGGCAGTTACGTACTAGTTAAGAGTGAAGGTTGAAGGGGTTTGGCGGGACCCACATGTCGGTCACATTCCACGTGTCTATAATATCATGAAAGGCACGTGAATTGCAACGAAACAAAGTAAATGTAAGTGTACCTACTCGGGTAAATCGTTTGAAAGGAATTAATATAAGCAGCGAACAATATCCGAAATAAATAAATGGTGCAATAAAGGATCCTAGCTCTGTTCATATTAGAAAGATTTTAAATCAAACTGAGTATAGAAAGAAATATAAGTAGAGATCCCCAGGTAACACCAACATTTTAAATCCTACTGACTCTTTAATTTTTGGTCAGCTGCTTCAATCACGACATAAAATCTATAAATCAGACAACGTATTAGCCTATACTTGACGTAAAACTTCCCCCTTCACATGCTCATCTCATACAGTCTTTTCTTTCCTCATCCATCACTGTTCATGTATTCATGCTTGAATGAAACAGTCGTCTCCCAAGAAATTAGAATCTAGAAAGTCAAATTTCTGATTCTTTCTTATTACAAAGCAGAATAAAATTTTAATGATTATCATTAAATTAAATTTCAAACAAAACACGATCTGTTAATTAAAGTTTAACTAAATGTCACTTATTTTTTTCTTTAAGCTCGTTTAGTTTGTTGTTTACTTTTTACTTTTTTTTTTTTTCAAGCTCTTCCATGCCGTGGATGGCGCGCTACCTCTTTCATATAAGCAACAATGCGCATCAAGATAGTCCGCGAGAGTTTCCAATGTTAGAAACCTATAGCATGCGTTACTCTTATCCTTCCAGTGACAACCTCTGCTAATTTGATTATTATTACCAACAGTAGTAAAAAATGGCGAGAAATTCTGCGCATTAAAACCCAGCAAGCACCGTTTCCAGTTTCCACGCTTCACTAAAATGGTAACGTCTGAACTCTCTAATCACCACTACCATCAGCACAACAGCAACAATTCTCCCATGACGAAGCCCAACTCCCGAAGCAAAACCTCCTCTTTATTCCTCTCCGACGGTTGCCTTTTCCTCGGAGGAGTATTCTCCGCTCTTATCCTCGTCTGGGGTTTTTCCTCCTTCACCACCACCTTCCCCAACGACAACCAAAATTTGGAAACCCTTTCCCAAAATGCCGCCGCATCGCGCAGCACTCCCGATTTCACCTTCGACCCTCCCGACAAAACGTTCTTCGACGACCCGCAAATGGGGTACACCATGGACAAGAAAGTCTGGAACTGGGACGAGAAGCGCGAGGAGTGGCTCAAACTCCACCCTTCATTCTCCGCCGGAGCGCGAGAAAGGGTTTTGATGATCACCGGTTCTCAGCCGGGGCCGTGCCGGAACCCTATCGGCGACCATCTTCTCCTACGGTTCTTTAAGAACAAGGTGGACTACTGTCGGCTCCACGGGTACGATATATTGTACAACAACGCACTCTTACACCCGAAGATGTTCGCGTATTGGGCCAAGTACCCTGTGGTGCGGGCCGCGATGATGGCCCACCCGGAGGCCGAGTGGATCTGGTGGGTTGACTCGGACGCTTTGTTCACCGACATGGAGTTCAAGCTTCCTCTGGAGCGTTACAAGGAGCACAACCTTGTGGTTCACGGGTGGCCCCACCTGATTCACGAGAAGAGAAGCTGGACGGGCCTGAACGCCGGTGTGTTCTTGATCCGAAACTGTCAGTGGTCGTTGGACTTCATGGAGTCATGGGCCAGCATGGGCCCGCAGACGCCCAATTACGAGAAATGGGGAAAGACGCTGCGGTCAACTTTCAAGGACAAGTTCTTCCCGGAGTCGGACGATCAGACGGGCCTGGCGTATCTGATCGCGATCGAGAAGGAGAAATGGGCGGACAGGATTTACCTGGAGAGCGAGTACTACTTCGAAGGGTACTGGGAGGAGATCGTGGGAACGTTGCAGAACATCAGCGACAAATACAAAGAGATGGAAAAGGGGGTGCGCAGGTTAAGAAGGCGGCACGCGGAAAAGGTTAGCGAGAGTTACGGTGAGATTCGGGAGGAGTATTTGAAGGATGCTGGGTTCGGGAAAGAGAGTTGGAGGAGACCCTTCATCACGCACTTTACCGGATGCCAACCCTGCAGCGGAAAGTATAATGCCATGTATTCCGCCGATGACTGTTGGAACGGAATGCACAAGGCTCTCAATTTCGCCGATAACCAAGTCATGCGCAATTACGGTTTCCTGCGCACGGATCTACTCGATAACTCCGTTTCCCCTCTCCCTTTTGATTATCCACATTCCTCGTGACGATGATGATAACCCCAGGTAATTTTTTAGTTAATCTATTTAATTAATGGAACCCAATTATTGTTAACCAATGTCTACTAAGATTCCCTATGCCCTTAGTAGTTTGTTTATAATATTTTATTCCAGTTTAAGGTATATTTTCTGGCACTTGCTTTTGCTTTAGTGAACCGTTTTGTCGTTTAGGAGAATTTTTAATAGTAATTAGTGCATAATGGAATGAAAGTGGTAATTTCATTCTACCCGAATCCCTAAAAACCATTATGTTGTTGTTGTTGTTGGGTGCTTTGTCCCTTATTCTTTCGTGATCTTGTCTCCCCTGACTTTTTTTTTTTTACTAAACAAATGGTCTTTTCGATTAGTATTATCTTTTGAAAATTACAAGATGCGCTTTCCGTAATTGCAGTGTTTCAGGTTCAAAACGAATCCATAAAGCCCACGCTGAAATATCCCCTCTCAAACCACCGTTAAAAGCATAAAGTGAAATCCTCTGTAGTCTGCAAGTTTTACAATTTACATCAGTAACTTTATTGTGTCCCATTGATTTTGAATTCTTCCGAAAGTTTTAAAATTTTTTCTTAACTATCTGATAAACTATTAAATATATTATTTTTATATTAAACTGCTTTTATTAATCATTAAAACCAACATTAAAGTGGTATCATTTCGTAAGAATGAAACTTGAATATAGTACAATAAGTATTAGTAGAGTATTATTTTCTAGTGAAAATGGTATTTTATTTTATCTCAACAATCATCAGTCATTTTACTTACCAAAACTAAAATACTCGTTGTCCAGATAAAATAGTAGTTTAAATTAAATAATAACATTAACAGTGATGTATTTTGAAATTATAGAAAATATGATTAAAATTATATTTTTGAAATAGAGTTGTTTTAGTTGTATTTGGAATACTGAACCAGAGTTGTGCGTAATTGCATTAAAAAGGCGTATTCACAGTTAAGAATGTAGGCAAAACAGTAGTGAAAACGTGAATGGAGACAAATTTGAAGTGGTGAAGAGACTAAGGAAGTTAGGTTTGTGCACACTGACAAGATTTCAATATTATATGGTTTGGGGCAATTGGACGAGATGATACCTTGTATTATTACAACATGCGTGTAGGATGCCCGGTTACGTTTTTGATTGTCGCCCAACCACCATGATCTTCAAATTATTTGAATCCAGGGAAGTCAATGTACAGTACCCAACCATGTTTATTATTATTTGGTGCAGTATTGGTTCCGACAATCTACTGGCATTGGCTTGCTAGAGACCACTTTTCATATGCCAGGCGAAGTTGTTGCTAGTTGTTAGTTATTACTAACAAATTGCGTAAGTCCGCGCATGCACTTATACAGTTTGAAGAACCCTTTCTTTATTTAAATTTTAAGGCGTTTAAAGTGTGCAAGATAATTCCAAAAAATACTGTATCCGAAGATTCTCTATCCATACCATGTTTGTTGTTTGTTGCGGAAACATTTTATCGTGGATCTAATAAATGCTTAATTTTGGATCTGCAGTGCGAAGGACCCAGTGAGCTTGGATAGATTTTTGTGCGGCCCAGTAATTAAGATGGATAGATGATAAACATGTTCATGTCATGTGCATGCGTTCAGAACTTTCTTTCATCTACCTGTACCATTATCGGAGTTGTGGGGTCACGCTCACGGACCCTCACCCATGTCAATATATTAGTTACTATGGTAACGCAGACCAGCAGTGAGACCAACCTCACTCAATTTGGCTGTTTTAGTTACATCTACCCTTTTCTTTTTCTTTTCCCTTGTTTCCCACTCCCTTTCCTCACCTCTGGAAATGTTACATATTATGTATACAAGAATAGCAAAATAGCAGTATTAAGCTTTGTGACCTTGTTATGACAGGTGTTTTATTGTACCCGAAAAGATCAAGATGCCCCAATAAACCTGTGGACGTGTGAATTGTGATGTGCATTCCAATATGAGCATTAGTTAGTGCAGGTTTTGTAGTCTCTAATCAATATCTTTATATATGTTGAAAGGTATTGCTACTTACTAGCATCCCAAATTTCCAACTATAGGAAATAGTTAATTGGTCACAAAATGAAGCGAATCTGTCCATATATAACTTGTTAAAGGAGTTAATGTGAATTAATTCGTTACTCCCTTATAAACCCTTTTTTTTTTATCATTACAATTGATCAACCCAAACTCAAATATAGTTAGTTGGGTTAAATAAAGTGAGACTTCAAACGCTTTCTTAAAACTGGTTCAATCCAATCCAATCAATATTTTTGTAAGTTGAAAGAGGTTTATTTAATTGGATTGGATTTTTTTCTTTTTCGAACGTGTGATACTAGCACTTCAATCCTTTGAGGTCCGGCCCATTTAAATTCTCTAATATTTCAGTTATTGATTGGACATTACACAGCAATGGACATGGGGATGGGAAAACATGGGAGAATGGAAAGTTGAGAGGAAATGCGAAACTCGTAACCGCCAAGACGAAAAATTATGTTGGTAAACATAAAATAATTACCACAGGAGGTCAAGAACATTGAGCTTACTTTAGGAACTAGCATTGTAGGACTTTTCATTATTCATCCCCATGTCAAATGCGTATGCTGCTTCCTCCTCCCTTGATCTTTCATCTATTTTATACATTCCCACATAAATTGATGGGGGAATTAATGAAATTATGAAGTAAACCACAATCACAGAGTGATGTAGGAAATTTGTTGAGTTAACAAGGAGAAAAATTGTTTTAATACAGCCATCCGATCTAAACTACTTTTAAAGATTTAATCACTGTATCACGAGGTGAACTGTAGTCTAAAAAACTGCATACTTTTATTTGTGCTTGTTTCCAGCATATACTTATAAACGGGCTTCTTTGATGTCCTCCCGGGAACTTTGATTTGTGTTGTCCGAAGTAGAGCTAGAGGCATTTCCCTTTTGTTTGGCGAGTCTTTTTGCCATCCTTCGGTGCTTCACTTTCATTGATTTAGCACAAGCCGTTCCATCACTTAAACCAAGGCGTGTTGCTGCATGAAGGTCAGAGACAACGTACATTACGAGATCCATAACATAACAAGACATTGATAAAAGAATAGCGGGCATATTTTTGGAACCTTCCTCAGAAGCATTTGATCGAACAGGTGGAGCATCACATGCAACTTGGGTGGTATTCAGAGGCAACAGCGATCCAATAAGTTTTCCGCGATGAATGGCTTCTTCCTTCAGCTTCCTCTTCCGAATTTTCTTTCGCTGAGCCCTGCTAAGCTTCTCTGTCTCTGAATCACGTTCTTCGTCGACGCTGGTAGAGGAATTGTCGAAATCATCATCCAAAGTCCCTACATTTTCAACAAATTTTCTCTCAATTCTTGCGATTGTTAGAGCATGGTGCTTGCTGTACAAAGTCGTACCTGAAATGACGTCAGAGGCAGACTCGTCGATCAAAGGTTCCACAGGTTCCAACTCCCGTTCGCGCTAAACGATGAAAAAAGTATATTTTTAACCGTCGAAACGAAAGAAAAAAAAAAGAAGAAAAAAAGACTAGAGGCAGAAAGATATACTCGAGGAGAAGAGGGATATAGCATATTAACGATGGCTTCATTGAACCTGCGTTTTCTGTCGTCAGGGTTCATCAAACCAACGTCAAAATTTGAAATTATTTTGACACTCACTGAGATGGATCTGCCATGGGAGGGGTTCCTTAATTAAGATTCCATCTTTCACAGTATTTTGGGCCCTATCTTCATTTGGTACTCAAAATCTACATTCTCATGAATTCTTTTAACCAATATTTTCAACTAAATATTGTTAAGGTTTTTCTGTTTTATTTATTATTCTGTTTAGCAATTTGTTAATAGTGCAGCCCTTACTCCTAATCTGTAGGGCATTTTCCAATAAATTAGGGTCACACTCCAACTGAGATCTATTCTGTTTCTCAGTGGCTTTATTTAAGTTAGCAGTTATCTTTGAATAATACACAATAATTTTACAGCTTCTTCTATTTTCCATTTACGTTAATCTTTGCCTTCCTACACATTTTATATCTTTCAATAATTGGTATCAGAGCTCCGCAAGGGGCCTGATCCAAACGGTGAGTGAGTTGTGAGTAAGTGAATCTCTAAAAGAAACCCAAGATGTCTACTTCCGAATTTGTGCAGCCCGCTATTCCCAAATTTGAGGGTCATTATGATTTTTGGTCAATGACCATGAAGAATTTTCTTAGAAGCAAAGAATTGTGGAGTCTAGTGGAGGAAAGGGTTCCTACACGTGTGATTAGTACAGGACCCGGTGGAGAGACTCTACTGAAAACTGTGGAGGAAGCCAAACTCAAAGATTTGCGTGTCAAAAATTTTCTGTTTCAATCTATTGACAGAGAAATATTGGAGACTATCCTTGACAAGAGCACATCACGGGCAATTTGGAATTCAATGCGCCAAAAGTATCAAGGTTCTACAAGAGTGAAACGTGCACAACTCCAAGCATTGCGGAAAGAATTTGAGTTACTCACAATGAAAGAAGGGGAAAAGGTGGACAATTTTATGGGCCGCATCATGACTGTGGTAAGCAAAATGAAATCCAATGGAGAAACGATGAAACAGAGCACGGTGGTGAGCAAAATATTGAGATCTCTAACTCCTAAATTCAACTATGTTGTTTGTGCTATAGAGGAATCAAATGACCTCAATGTTCTCACCATTGACGAATTGCACGGAAGTTTATTGGTGCATGAACAAAGAATGCTTGGGGTACAGGAGGAAGAAGAGGTGTTGAAGGCTACTCACGAGACCACCAATAGTAGAGAGGAGCGACCTAACAGAGGCAGAGGTCGTGGTGGATTTAGAGGAGGTCGCAGCAGAGGAAGAGGAAGACAACCCTTCAACAAAGCCTCCATGGAGTGTTTCAAGTGTCATAAATTAGGGCATCTTCAGTATGAATGCCCTGACTGGGAGAAGCAGGCAAATTATGCTGAAATAGAGGATGAAGAAGAAATTCTTCTCATGGCACATGAGGAGCAGCCAGGACACGAGGGTGAAAGATGGTATTTTGACTCTGGTTGCAGCAACCATATGACAGGAAACAAGACATGGTTCCTGAACTTGGAAGAAGAATGTTCCAAGTCAGTGAAGCTTGGAAATGATACACATTTGATAGTAGCAGCGAGAGGTAGTGTTCGGATGCATGTTAATGGCATCACCCAGGTCCTGTCTGATGTCTACTACATTCCTGAACTCAAGAATAATCTCTTGAGTATTGGACAACTACAAGAAAAGGGCTTAGCCATTCTGATTTCAGATGGCTCATGCAAGGTGTTTCATCCTGCAAGGGGATTAATTATGAAGTCTGAGATGAGTGGGAATAGAATGTTTTATGTGACAACATCTATGGCTCCCACACATTCGTTATGTCTCCAATCAGAAACTGTCAAGGTTAGAGAAGCTAGAGAAGTTTATTTGTGGCATTGTCGCTTTGCACACTTAAATTACAAAGCCTTGAGTATCTTGGCTGCCAAAGAAATGGTACTTGGTTTACCTAGTTTGGCTCCTCCTCAGACAACATGTTCTACATGCTTAACAGGAAAACAATCAAGAGGATCATTCCCAAACCAAAGTACTTGGAGAGCATCTAAACAATTAGAACTCATACATTCAGATATATGTGGCCCTATCCAGCCAGTCTCGTACAGTAATAAGAGGTATTTTCTAACTTTCATTGATGATTTTTCTAGGAAAACTTGGGTGTATTTTTTGCATGAGAAGTCAGAAGCATTGGCCAAATTCAAGGAATTCAAGGCACGAATTGAGAAGGAGGCAGATGCACACATCTTGTGCTTGCGGACAGATCGTGGAGGAGAATTCCTCTCTAGTGACTTTATTGAATTTTGTCACACACAAGGCATAAGAAGACAATTAACTACATCCTATACTCCTCAGCAAAATGGTGTGGTTGAACGAAAGAATAGAACAATTATGAATGCGGTTCGTTCTATGCTCAAGGAGAAGCAAGTTCCCAAAGTCTTTTGGCCAGAAACTGTCAAGTGGTGTGTGCACATCCAAAACAGAAGTCCTACAGCTGCTGTAGAAGATATTACTCCAGAAGAAGCCTGGAGCGGCAGGAAACCTGTGGTGGAATATTTCAGAGTCTTTGGGTGTGTAGCCCATGCGCATATTCCAGACCAGAAAAGAGTCAAGCTGGATGACAAAAGCAGAAAATGTGTTTTTCTGGGTGTTAGTGATGAGTCTAAAGCATGACGCTTATATGATCCAATCACAAAAACTGTGGTCATTAGCAGAGATGTAGTTTTTGAGGAAGAAAAGAGCTGGGATTGGAGCAGATTAGAACTGGAAACCAAGCCAGATGAGGTGATTTTTGGAGATACAGATGATCTTGCTGCAACGACTGAAAATAACACTAATATTACAACAACTGCAGATAATAGTGTTGATAACAGTGAAGATGGGAGCAACAACATATACCTAGACAGTATTGCACCAAGTTCACCTAAAGGGAGGGCAACACGTGCAAGGAGAGCTCCAAGGTGGTTAGCAGATTATGACACAGGGTTGTCAGAAGAAGAAACCTTAGCAGTAATGCTTGTAACCGAATCAGACCCGGTGTCATTTGAAGAAGCTGCAGGGAGTAAACATTGGAGAGAAGCCATGGTTAAAGAAATAGAAGAAAGAATCTCACATGGGAACTTACGTCTTTACCGGATGGAGTTACACCAATTGGAGTTAAATGGGTCTTTAAAACCAAACTCAATGCAGAAGGGACAGTAGAAAAACACAAAGCAAGACTTGTAGCAAAAGGGTATGCCCAAAAACATGGAATTGACTACACTGAAGTTTTTGCCCCAGTTGCTAGATTGGATACCATTAGATTAATTCTAGCTACCGCTGCTCAATTTAGCTGGAAGGTGTTCCAACTTGATGTCAAAAGTGCCTTTCTTCATGGAGAACTTAAAGAAGATATATTTGTCCTACAACCTGAAGGTTTTGTGAAGAAAGGAGAAGAAGAGAAGGTATATAAACTAAAGAAAGCATTGTATGGTCTTAAACAAGCACCTCGAGCTTGGTATCACAAACTTGAGACCTACTTTATACAAGAAAATTTTGAGAAGTGTCCTAGTGAACACACATTGTTCACTCGCTCACAGGGAGGTAAAATTTTAATTGTTAGTTTGTATGTTGACGATTTGATATTCACTGGAAATGATAGAATTATGTGTGAGGAGTTTAAACAGTCCATGATGGCTCATTTTGATATGTCTGATTTGGGAACAATGAGTCACTTTCTTGGTATTGAGGTTAAACAATACTCGACTGGCATTTTTATTTGTCAAAGGAGGTATGCACAGGAGATATTGTCTCGTTTTGGTATGCAGGACAGCAATGCAGTAAAGAATCCCATGGTGCCAGGGACTCAACTCGTCCAAGAATACGAAGGACGAAGGTGTTGAAGAAACTTTGTTCAAACAATTAATTGGCGGTCTTATGTATTTAACTCGCCACTAGGCCGGACTTGATGTATACAGTAAGTTTACTTAGTAGATTCATGACCAATCCTACTACAACACACTCGGTTGGCGAGAAAACGCGTTTTGAGGTACATCGAGGTACGATCTGTCTTGGCATTTGGTATAAAAAGGGAACTAGTAGTTTAAGACTACTAGCCTTTTCGGATAGCGATTATGCTGGAGATTTGAACGATAGAAAAAGTACTTCAGGCTACGTATTTATACTAGGAACAGGGGCAATTTCTTGGGCATCTAAGAAACAAAATGTGGTAGCTTTGTCAACAACAAAGGCAGAGTATATGGCGGCAGCTCTATGTGCTTGTCAATGTATTTGGCTAAGCCGATTGCTAGAACAAATTGGGCTTAAGAATGAAACTGCAGTTGAGATTCTATGTGATAATATTTCTACAATTCAGCTATCCAAACATCCAGTGTTTTATGGGAAAAGCAAACACATAGATGTCAGGTTTCATTTTTTAAGGGATTTGGTGAATGATGGAGCGATCAAGCTACGATTTTGTAGCTCTCAAGATCAACTAGCAGACATTATGACAAAACCTCTAAAGCTGGACCAGTTTCAAAGGTTGCGGACTATGATTGGAATAACTAGTGTAGATGCATTAGTTTAAGGGAGGGATTGTTAAGGTTTTTCTGTTTTATTTATTATTCTGTTTAGCAATTTGTTAATAGTGCAACACTTACTCCTAATCTGTAGGGCAGTTTCCAATAAATTAGGGTCACACACCAATTGAGATCTATTCTGTTTGTCAGTGACTTTATTTAAGTTAGCCGTTATCTTTGAATAATACAGAGCAATTTTACAGCTTCTTCTATTTAATGATTCTACATAAGTCAATCGGTGCGAAATGATAGAACCTAGAAGTAGCAAAGACGAAAACTTGGTGGGAAAGGAAGGAGGAGACAGTTACAAATTCAAAAGTTCAAAACAAGAACACCACCCAGCGAGGATTCCAACTTTTATCATCAACTAAGCACTATTCTCACCTCTTTTATCCTTATCTTCCCCATAGATTCTCGGAATCTCCGTACCCTATCTTCGCTTCGTCTTTCCCCTTTTCCTATTTTCCAAAACCCCTCTCTTCTCCTCTGAATTGGGTGTCTTTCAATTTCAAATCTTTCCATGGAACCTGACGGGATTGGCGAACTCAAGCTACCACTGTTGCATACATCGGAAGCTGCTACCGCCCCTGTTAGGACCGTCACGTTCCAACTGAGCGACGTCAAGTGTTCTTCATGCGTGAATTCTGTCGAGGCCGTCGTCGGGAGCCTTAACGGCGTCAAAAGCGTCGCCGTTTCGCCGCTTGACGGTCGCGCCGCCATCAAGTTTGACCCTAAGTTGGTTACTGTGAAACAAATAAAAGGGAAAACATCGGATGCTTTAGGAAAGCTAACTCAACTTGTTCCTGATAAAGCTTTTTTAGTAGAAATTGATACCGAAGGAAATATAATCACAGAGACAGAAATTGACACTCAACTTATACAAAAAAATGACATAATTAAGATTGTTCCTGGGGCCAAAATTCCTGTTGATGGTATTGTTATAAAAGGGCAAAGCTATGCAAATGAAAGTATGATCACTGGGGAGGCAAGACCTGTTGATAAAAGCCCAGGAGACAAGGTTATCAGTGGAACCATCAATGAAAATGGATGCTTACTGGTAAATGCCACACATGTTGGATCAGACACTACACTTTCTCAAATAGTTCAACTAGTTGAAGCTGCTCAACTTGCCAAAGCACCAGTTCAAAAACTTGCTGACCATATTTCAAGGGTTTTTGTTCCAATAGTGGTTGTTGTGGCGCTAATAACTTGGCTTGGATGGTTCATTCCTGGGGAAGCTGGTATTTTCCCTGAACATTGGATACCAACAGCAATGGATGCATTTGAGCTAGCTTTGCAGTTTGCTATTTCTGTGTTGGTTGTTGCTTGCCCATGTGCTCTGGGACTTGCAACACCAACAGCAGTCATGGTTGCTTCAGGCATGGGTGCTTCTCAAGGTGTGCTCATCAAGGGCGGAAATGCGCTGGAAAAGGCACACAAGGTAAAAGTTGTTGTGTTTGATAAGACTGGAACACTAACAGTTGGGAAGCCAGAGGTAGTTAGTGCAGTTCTGTTTTCTGAATTTTCTATGGAGGAGTTATGTGACATGACAATTGCTGTTGAGGCAAGTAGTGAGCACCCGATAGCAAAAGCTGTTGTGGTACATGCGAAAAGGCTGCGGCAGAAATTTGGTTCTTCCACAGATGAAGTCCCGGATGTGAATGATTTTGAGGTACACATGGGAGCTGGTGTAAGTGGAAAAGTTGGTGATAGAAAGGTTGTAGTTGGAAACAAGAGACTCATGCATGCTTGTAATATTCCAGTAGGTTCTAAGGTTGAGAAGTACATATCTGAAAATGAAAATCTAGCTAGAACTTGCATTTTAGTTTCAATTGATGGAAAGATTGCTGGAGCATTCTGCGTAACTGATCCTGTAAAGCCAGAGGCTAGACGTGTTGTATCTTTTCTCCACTCCATGGGCATTTCAAGTATCATTGTGACTGGTGATAACCGTGCTACCGCAATTGCTATAGCAAATGAAGTAGGTATTGATGAGGTTTTTGCTGAGACAGATCCTGTTGGCAAAGCTAACAAGGTGAAAGACTTGCAGATGAAAGGAATGACTGTGGCAATGGTAGGTGATGGAATAAATGACTCACCAGCCCTGGTTGCTGCTGATGTTGGCATGGCAATTGGTGCTGGAACTGACATTGCTATAGAAGCAGCTGACATAGTTCTGGTCAAAAGCAGTTTGGAAGATGTGATCACAGCCATAGATCTATCTAGAAAGACCATGTCACGCATCCGACTGAACTACATCTGGGCTCTTGGTTACAACATTCTAGGCATGCTAATTGCTGCAGGAGTCTTGTACCCTTTTGCTGGAATCAGATTGCCCCCATGGCTTGCTGGTGCTTGCATGGCTGCTTCGTCTCTTAGTGTGGTTTCATCCTCTCTCTTACTGCAGTTCTATAAAAAACCTCTTCATATAGAATCCTTTTGATGACCATATTTTATGCCCTCTAGTTTTAATAAGCTCCACATTTTGGTATCAGAGCGGTGGTGAGCAAAATATTGAGATCTCTAACTCCTAAATTCAACTATGTTGTTTGTGCTATAGAGGAATCAAATGACCTCAATGTTCTCACCATTGACAAATTGCACGGAAGTTTATTGGTGCATGAACAAAGAATGCTTGGGGTACAGGAGGAAGAACAGGTGTTGAAGGCTACTCACGAGACCACCAATAGTAGAGAGGAGCGACCTAACAGAGGCAGAGGTCGTGGTGGATTTAGAGGAGGTCGCAGCAGAGGAAGAGGAAGACAACCCTTCAACAAAGCCTCCATGGAGTGTTTCAAGTGTCATAAATTAGGGCATCTTCAGTATGAATGCCCTGACTGGGAGAAGCAGGCAAATTATGCTGAAATAGAGGATGAAGAAGAAATTCTTCTCATGGCACATGAGGAGCAGCCAGGACACGAGGGGGAAAGATGGTATTTTGACTCTGGTTGCAGCAACCATATGACAGGAAACAAGACATGGTTCCTGAACTTGGAAGAAGAATGTTCCAAGACAGTGAAGCTTGGAAATGATACACATTTGACAGTAGCAGCGAGAGGTAGTGTTCGGATGCATGTTAATGGCATCACCCAGGTCCTGTCCGATGTCTACTACATTCCTGAACTCAAGAATAATCTCTTGAGTATTGGACAACTACAAGAAAAGGGCTTAGCCATTCTGATTTCAGATGGCTCATGCAAGGTGTTTCATCCTGCAAGGGGATTAATTATGAAGACTGAGATGAGTGGGAATAGAATGTTTTATGTGACAACATCTATGGCTCCCACACATTCGTTATGTCTCCAATCAGAAACTGTCAAGGCTAGAGAAGCTAGAGAAGTTTATTTGTGGCATTATCGCTTTGCACACTTAAATTACAAAGCCTTGAGTATCTTGGCTGCCAAAGAAATGGTACTTGGTTTACCTAGTTTGGCTCCTCCTCAGACAACATGTTCTACATGCTTAACAGGAAAACAATCAAGAGGATCATTCCCAAACCAAAGTACTTGGAGAGCATCTAAACAATTAGAACTCATACATTCGGATATATGTGGCCCTATCCAGCCAGGTCTCGTACAGTAATAAGAGGTATTTTCTAACTTTCATTGATGATTTTTCTAGGAAAACTTGGGTGTATTTTTTGCATGAGAAGTCAGAAGCATTGGCCAAATTCAAGGAATTCAAGGCACGAATTGAGAAGGAGGCAGATGCACACATCTTGTGCTTGCGGACAGATCGTGGAGGAGAATTCCTCTCTAGTGACTTTATTGAATTTTGTCACACACAAGGCATAGGAAGACAATTAACTACCTCCTATACTCCTCAGCAAAATGGTGTGGTTGAACGAAAGAATAGAACAATTATGAATGCGGTTCGTTCTATGCTCAAGGAGAAGCAAGTTCACAAAGTCTTTTGGCCAGAAGCTGTCAAGTGGTGTGTGCACATCCAAAACAGAAGTCCTACAACTGCTGTAGAAGATATTACTCCAGAAGAAGCCTGGAGCGGCAGGAAACCTGTGGTGGAATATTTCAGAGTCTTTGGGTGTGTAGCCCATGCGCATATTCCAGACCAGAAAAGAGTCAAGCTGGATGACAAAAGCAGAAAATGTGTTTTTCTGGGTGTTAGTGATGAGTCTAAAGCATGGCGCTTATATGATCCAATCACAAAAACTGTGGTCATTAGCAGAGATGTAGTTTTTGAGGAAGAAAAGAGCTGGGATTGGAGCAGATTAGAACTGGAAACCAAGCCAGATGAGGTGATTTTTGGAGATACAGATGATCTTGCTGCAACGACTGAAAATAACACTCAGATAATAGTGTTGATAACAGTGAAGATGGGAGCAACAACATATACCTAGACAGTATTGCACCAAGTTCACCTAAAGGGAGGGCAACACGTGCAAGGAGAGCTCCAGGGTGGTTAGCAGATTATGACACAGGGTTGTCAGAAGAAGAAACCTTAGCAGTAATGCTTGTAACCGAATCAGACCCGGTGTCATTTGAAGAAGCTGCAGGGAGTAAACATTGGAGAGAAGCCATGGTTAAAGAAATAGAAGAAAGAATCTCACATGGGAACTTACGTCTTTACCGGATGGAGTTACACCAATTGGAGTTAAATGGGTCTTTAAAACCAAACTCAATGCAGAAGGGACAGTAGAAAAACACAAAGCAAGACTTGTAGCAAAAGGGTATGCCCAAAAACATGGAATTGACTACACTGAAGTTTTTGCCCCAGTTGCTAGATTGGATACCATTAGATTAATTCTAGCTACCGCTGCTCAATTTAGCTGGAAGGTGTTCCAACTTGATGTCAAGAGTGCCTTTCTTCATGGAGAACTTAAAGAAGATATATTTGTCCTACAACCTGAAGGTTTTGTGAAGAAAGGAGAAGAAGAGAAGGTATATAAACTAAAGAAAGCATTGTATGGTCTTAAACAAGCACCTCGAGCTTGGTATCACAAACTTGAGACCTACTTTATACAAGAAAATTTTGAGAAGTGTCCTAGTGAACACACATTGTTCACTCGCTCACAGGGAGGTAAAATTTTAATTGTTAGTTTGTATGTTGACGATTTGATATTCACTGGAAATGATAGAATTATGTGTGAGGAGTTTAAACAGTCCATGATGGCTCATTTTGATATGTCTGATTTGGGAACAATGAGTCACTTTCTTGGTATTGAGGTTAAACAATACTCGACTGGCATTTTTATTTGTCAAAGGAGGTATGCACAGGAGATATTGTCTCGTTTTGGTATGCAGGACAACAATGCAGTAAAGAATCCCATGGTGCCAGGGACTCAACTGTCCAAGAATACGAAGGACGAAGGTGTTGAAGAAACTTTGTTCAAACAATTAATTGGCAGTCTTATGTATTTAACTGCCACTAGGCCAGACTTGATGTATACAGTAAGTTTACTTAGTAGATTCATGACCAATCCTACTACAACACACTGGTTGGCAGCAAAACGCGTTTTGAGGTACATCAGAGGTACGATCTGTCTTGGCATTTGGTATAAAAAGGGAACTAGTAGTTTAAGACTACTAGCCTTTTCGGATAGCGATTATGCTGGAGATTTGAACGATAGAAAAAGTACTTCAGGCTACGTATTTATACTAGGAACAGGGGCAATTTCTTGGGCATCTAAGAAACAAAATGTGGTAGCTCTGTCAACAACAGAGGCAGAGTATATGGCGGCAGCTCTATGTGCTTGTCAATGTATTTGGCTAAGTCGATTGCTAGAACAAATTGGGCTTAAGAATGAAACTGCAGTTGAGATTCTATGTGATAATAGTTCTACAATTCAGCTATCCAAACATCCAGTGTTTCATGGGAAAAGCAAACACATAGATGTCAGGTTTCATTTTTTAAGGGATTTGGTGAATGATGGAGCGATCAAGCTACGATTTTGTAGCTCTCAAGATCAACTAGCAGACATTATGACAAAACCTCTAAAGCTGGACCAGTTTCAAAGGTTGCGGACTATGATTGGAATAACTAGTGTAGATGCATTAGTTTAAGGGAGGGATTGTTAAGGTTTTTCTGTTTTATTTATTATTCTGTTTAGCAATTTGTTAATAGTGCAACACTTACTCCTAATCTGTAGGACAATTTCCAATAAATTAGGGTCACACTCCAACTGAGATCTATTTTGTTTCTCAGTGGCTTTATTTAAGTTAGCAGTTATCTTTGAATAATACACAACAATTTTACAGCTTCTTCTATTTTCCATTTACGTTAACCTTTACCTTCCTACACATTTTATATCTTTCAATAATTCTCAAAAACTCTCACAACGATTGAAATTTTTTAGTCCTATCCTTTATGACGTTTCTAAAAATCAATTATACGTACTAAATCATGCCCTCGTCTGTGCATGCTGAAGTCACACTCGTGCTTCAACTAAATATTCATTTTGATTTGAGTAAATTGACCAAAATAAATAAATTAAAATTTCCGTCCCCTTTTTCAGTTACTCGGTAACTTGTTAGATTTTGTATTCCACGGTCATGTCATTCCCATAGTCAAATGGTTGAAACAAAAAAGATATATTTAATAATGTCTTCATTTACTATTTAAGGGAACTATATTGTCCTTATAAGGATTGAAAAAATATTGAAATTTGTTAACTTAGTTATGTAAATTAAAAATAATTAATATTTTAAAAATGTTTAAAACATTATCTCAATGTACGAAATTACAAAAATTATGTTGATTGATAATACTTTTAGAAATTATTCTTTAATAGGAGTGTTTTAGGAGTTTAGCTTTTTTTTCAGTCTTATATTCTCTATCTATAATATTCATCATTATTTTTAGATGAATTTATAACTGTCAAGAATAATAATGTATTATTGTACAAATTATTTATTATAACTATAAAACATAATTTAGTTTTTGTATTTCTACGAAATCATTTTAAAATTCTTCTAGGAAATCTTTTAAAAATTCTTCTAGGAAATCTTTCTATATACAGAATTCTTGAAAAAAAAAAATATTAAGCGAAAATGTTCATATTTATCTAACATGTGTAAACCTTACAACCAATCACTTTGAACTTTTCTTCTTCACAAAACGTAAAACCATGAAGAGATTATTATATGCACCCACCGAACGGATTTTTAGTCGGGTTACTCTTAAATTTTATTTTATTTTATTTTTTCTTTTACCAACTTCCTTTCACTTCATTTGCTTCTCTTTTACCAAAATAATAAACATAAAAAAATTTGAAGGAACCAAAGGCTACACATGAAAAAACAATAAGGTGGAGGCCATCCTCAAAGCTGGTAAAGAAAAAGTCCTAAGTCAAGACCATGGTGTCTGCGCGAATGGCTCACGTGAAAAAAATTGGTGTAATCTTGTCGTGTTCTTTGTTGACTCGTCACTAGAGAAGGATAACCCCAACATTCAGCACATAAAAATTGACTCACATCATTATTCATCTCATGTGTTTTTCATGGCATCACTGTTCAGACTCAACACTCTATGTATGCTTCACGCACTCATTTTGTTGTTCTTCTTCTTTGTTTTGAGTGTGATGCACTTCTAGCTCAGACTTACCAATGTCCTGATTCAAACTACAAATACATGTTATGCTAGTAAAAAACGGGTTTGTCTAGGTGTCTTCACTTGGCAATATGAAAAAGAGAGCAGCAAAAGTGGAATTTGATTCACACAGGGGTGGGTCATTCTCAAAGCTAAAGCTAATTTTATGTCTTCTCACGGGTGATTTATTTTGTTGCATGCCATCACACTTTCATTCCAGTTAAAAAAATGGAAAAGTTTAACATAAGTGATATATAGAGATTATAAATATAATATCTTTAATATTTTAGATTAATGATGATGTTATATAATACTATTTAGAAGTGGTTTTGTCATGAATATTTTTCAGTTAGTAGTATCTTTCATTTATAAATACTAAATATTGATATCAAAATTAATAGAATAATGGTGTATCTTTTGTAGATATCCTTGTTTTAAATATATTCATGTTTCAGGTAAAATGAGTTTTATTATATTAAAAAATATAAATAAAAGTCACCACACAAATGTTTGTGGAGGTAAAATGAATCCTAAGATATTGAACCACGATATAAATAAAAGTCATTATTCAAATATTCATGTATAAGTATAGGAGACGTTTCCAAGAAATATACAATTTTTTAAAAAATATATTAAAATTTAAGTACAAAAATTAAACACTAATATAAAAATAAAAAGTTAATTATCATAAATAAAAAACTATAATATTAATATAATAAAATAAATAGATAAATAAATAAACAACGGACATATTCTTCAAAATTTTCAATTAATCAATCTCATATTAATTAATTAAATAACTCTTCAAGAACCCTGTTTATTTATTATTTATAAGATTTAATTATTTATTTTATTAGTAAAATAATGATTAATTTTATATATATATATATATATATATATATATATATATATATGCTAATAAATTTATTTCAAACAAATATTTCTAAATTACTTTTTCATCATATTTTTTATTAGTTGCTAGAATACTTTATAATCTAAAGATAATTAATATAAAATATATCTTAAAAAGTATATTTAAATTAAGAGTTTTCTGTAAGTGTACCTTGAAAAACATGATGTAGAGAATATATATTTTAACAGTAAAATAAATTTGTATGTATTATAAGTTTTTGAAGTAGTTGTCCTATTATGTTACGCCACATGTCTTCTACATCATCAGCACTCAGCCACATCATTAACAAGGTTAACAGTATAGGTACCACCAATCTATAACTTTCACACACTTGTATAAACTAAAATGTATACATAGATATTATAATTTTAAAGTTGTGTACGTATACCAACTATCATTTATAATTATTTTGTAATTAAATTTCAATTTTGTCCTAAATAGTAAAAAGAAACACTATATGTTATTGTAATTTTGGCCCTTTTTAGTGAGTGCTCTTCATCTTCCTTCTTAATTCCAAAAGGCACCACAATTATTTAAAAGCATCTATCAATAGTTTGAAGTTTACTGCTTATGAGTGTAGAGCACTTTAACGGGAACCTAGGCGATTATAATTAAGAAATAATAAAAAATTATGATTATTATAGTTTTCAAGATTGTTAAAATAGAACTCGTTGATTGTTAAAAATTAATTCCACGTTTATTCTTCGAGTACAATCCCAAAAAAACTCTAACATCGATCTGTAAGCGCTTCATTCATTCACTCAATTAGTCATACTATGACACTATTTGTTTCAAGATAGTTACTGCTTAAAGTTAAAGACATCGCACATTTTTTTCTCGAAAAATAAGTCATTTGATATCCTTAATTTAAAAAAAAATAAAATAAAAATTACAACAACGCTAAACGAAACTGTCTTTTCCTTCTATCAATACTTTGCTTTCGATTGACAAAAGAGCGATACCAGTTATACGAATAAAATCTAAAAATGATTATTCTTCTTGGTCACAAAAATTTAATATAATAGAATTTTAAGATGATATAGTTTTTTTAATATAACAAAAAATCACATGATTCATACATATCAGAACCACTATATTTAAAACAAGAAATGAACATGATTCAAAACATATATAGCTGGAAAGAAGACAAGCATGGACGGTACTTTTATGCATAAAAATATATCATTAAGATGCTGATCCATCGAACTACATTATTTTGACGAGAGAGTGGGATAAGTTTGCATATCATATGTCACTACTTACATAATGATGCATTATATAATAGTGGTATATTGCGCCGACAGTGAAGACAAAAGCACGTCTGAATCCTGAGCTGCCCCATCCTCAAGTCTCGGGTTGTTGGCTTTTATTGACATTCCATGCAACAATGCACGCACCTTCATCATCGCTACCCTCAATTTGCACACGATCGAAAATCTATAAATACTAGTTCAAAAGCAGCACACCAACAACGTATTCTCTTAGCGACCCCACCCATCTTAATTCTCATCGGAAAATCCAATTTTAATCATCATCCCACAAAAAATCAAACCAACCAAGCTAGTGATCTAAGTTATGGAAGCTTACTCGAGCACTTACCCTGTGTCCAAGTCTCACTCTTTACTTCATTCTGTGAGGAAGGCACAAGCAAAACCGTGGAAGAAAGCGCCGGTGGCACCACCGGCACCGACACCGATCAGAGTGTACAAGGTGGACGCTATCAACTTCCGTGACCTTGTTCAGCAGCTTACGGGTGCACCTGAGCTCAACCCTCAGCTTCATCAGCAACTTCTCCAAAGGGTTTCACCTATTGCTACCACGCCGCCAAAGACCATGTTGCCAACCAGAGACAACATCACTGCACCATCTCCAACTGTGTCCTCCGCTAACTGGTACCAGGGACAGCAACCTCAAACATTGGAATTGAATTTATCATCACCCTCTTCTTATAACTGGTGCTCTGTTCCTCGTACCAGGCAAGGAGCCATGACCACCTTGGAACCGGGTCGGGTTCTCTAGTTACAATATAACATTTTTTATTTTCTTTATTTTCTTAATATTATAATAAAACAACATAATTTAAATTATATCCTTTAGTTATATATGAATATGCTCAATCATTTCGTCTGGGGCATAGAGCTTTTGTCCACAGTTTGTTTCTTTTGGACTTCAGCTATCTAGATCTGGGATCCAGCAGATGCTAGTTACAACCATTTTTTCCTATGTACTCTCACGCATAAATGAAATGATATTCAAATATATTTTGAATTAAAGTAGAAATGTTGGTAAACTATTAAGGATGTTTCGTTCGAAAAAAAAAGAAAAATTACCGAAATCTGCATATTCATGTGATCGGTGTTAAACTGAATTGAAAAGATAAGGACTAGAATGATGATGGAAACTGAATTGAAATTGTTTGTGGAAAATTTACAAATGCAGCAAGTGGAACTCGTTTTTCACTGCTGTACCGCAACGCAATCATTTATTCTGCTCATTACTTAGAGACAAGAGTTGGGATTAGAAATAATAATAATAATTATTAGAAAAATGATATTTTTACAACCCAAATCCGTAAACAATCCATGTATTGTTCATTGTTCACGGACCTTCAATGTTTCAAGCTTGGTGGGCCGCATCCAGCTCAATCAGAAGCAATATACGTATATATATATATATAGAGAGAGAGAGAGAGAGAGAGGGGTAGGGGTGTAATTTCTCTAACTTGTCTTACTCTATGAAGTTTCAATACATTTCTATTCAGTTTTGAATAAGAGTTTTCCCCACAGCAAACACTTGGGTAATCCTCTTCAAATCATCAAATTTTTTTCCCTTGGTTAAATACTGAAATGTTATTTTTAGAGTGAAAACAAAGCACACTTTTATGAATTGATCACTTTAGAGTCAGCACACTTGATTATAGCACATACACATGTTTAAAACCAGGAGCTATGCAACTAGGATTAACATAAGGAATTGAAATTCAATTGGAAATATAAATTGTAAACTATGAGTATTGAATTTTATCCCTTACAAAAAGAGGATGGGGTTGTTCGTGATTCCAATTCCATATGTACCAACAATTATAATACAATCATGAATTTTGTCGTTACTTTTATCATTATAACAATTGCCAATATATTATTATCACAATTATTAGCATCAAAGTGATATAATAATAATAATAATAATTATTATTATTATTATTGTTGCTATTTTTCGATGATTTTCGTTATTATTATCATAAGTATCATCATATTTATTACTATTATAATATATTGTTATTTGAACTTTATCATATTACATATTAAATATTTATTTTATCTATTTTAATATTATATTTTATGATGTTATATCTTGATCCTTATACAAGTTCTTAAAATATAAAAACATATATTACAGTGATATATTTTACATATAAAATACTCTATGCAAATATAAAATATTATGAAGAAAAAATTATTCTTTTTATAAAAACTTAAAACTTAAACAATGGAAAAATTTTCGGAAGTTGTTTTTTTAAATAAGAATATGATTATTGTATTTTTCTTATTAAAGTTGTATAGTATTTAAGGTCCTCCAACTCCCCTCCATCCAGACGGTCCTCGCGCCCATCATATCTCAGGAAACACAAACATTTTTTTTTAAATAGTCTCATTTTATTTTTCAGATTCGCCTATGTATAATATAAGATTTTTTTTTAGTCACTGTAAAATAATTAGATACTAATTTTGATTCTTCAGTAAAAAAAATTAAATTATTGATTTTTGTTTCTGTAATTTTTTTTATTAAATCAATTTTGAATTTTCTGTATAAAATCGAGGGCATGGTTTTTTTTAAGTTGATATTTTTACGTGTTGTGGTTAAGAACGACACCATGAATTAGCTTTCCTATTCAAATTAAAAGAATTTAAATGATGGTGTCATCTTTAAAATATTTACATTTATAATTTTTGAACCAATTAATAAATTAATTAAATTTAAAATACACACAATTATTAATGAAAAAATGTGCATATTTTAAAATTAAAATATCATATGTCTCTATTTTAGTATGAGAAAAAAATTCGAATTAAAACAATAAAATTTGTATTAGTATTTTTTAAAATGGAAAAAGGTTGCAGGGTTTTAAATAAGAATGAATTAGAAAGAATTAATGGGAAATTAGAATTAAACAAAGATAATAATAAAATTTGGTGGTTTGTGGAGCCTGAAACGGTGTCGCAGTGTATGGTCTCATCTGGTTAAGGGGGGGAGTCTTGAGTTGGGAGGAAGTGACTATCGAAATCTGGTAAGAAGCTGTAATCAATCAAACCAAACCAAACCATGTCGTGGTTTGCAAGGACAATCGCAAACTCACTCAGACTCGACGACGACGACGACGACGACGACAATGGCGGCAACCTAAAATCCCCTCAGAAGAAACCCGAAACAGAACCCCTTCAACCCGAATCAGAACCCATTCAACCCGATTCCGCTTCCACTCCCAGTCCCACAGCACGCGGCGTCAAAGAGGATTTCTCGGAGCTCACCAAGTCTTTTTCCCGCCAGCTATGGGGCGTCGCCTCCTTCCTCGCCCCACCGCCCGATCCTCAATCCAATAGTCCCGTTGCTGATCGCAATTCCTCCGACGAAGAAGATGTTATCGCCGGAATCCGTAACGATTTTGCCGAGATTGGTGGCAAGTTCAAGAGCGGGATCTCCAAACTCTCTGGCCATAAGACGGTATCTGAATTCACCAAGATCGCTTCGAGCTTCCTTCAGCTTGGATCCCAAGAGGAATACGATCTTGATGGCGTTGTCGGAGTTACCGAGGATGTGGTTGCCTTTGCTAGAAGCGTAGCGCTGCATCCAGAAACTTGGCTCGATTTTCCTCTTCCTGACGATGCCGATTCTGATGGTATATCGATTTTCTCTCACTTGGTTATGCAAATTCTATTTACCGTTCCAATCGAAATTTCGAGGTGATTTATTTATACGTCGTGGACAAATATATAACAGTTGTGGCTATTTACATAGCTAGCAGTTTGCCATATGTGCTTCTTAAGATGTTCATATGTGTATTTTAGATTACATTTTATTCTGCCTGATATTTCACTATCTATGAAATTTTGTTGCTTAGATTTTGATTTATCCGATGCGCAACAAGAACACGCTCTAGCTGTTGAACATCTGGCACCAAGCTTAGCTGCCCTTAGAATAGAACTGTGCCCCGGATACATGAGTGATGGTAACTTTTGGAAGATTTATTTTGTACTCCTGCATCCTAGACTCAGCAAAAGTGATGCTGATATTTTATCCACCCCCCAAGTGAGTTCAATTTTATTGGCGTTGGTTTTCAATATTCGATGTATTTTTGTAGTTTTCGTCGGGTTAATGTGTGTTGATGCCTCATAATTAAAAAGATTGTGTTATTTGGTTTCTTTGTTTGTTTGCTTGCTTGATTCAATTGCTTTAACTTTTATCACAAGCTACTAATGATTGAAACCGAGAAAATCAAGTTATTTCATTGTTCAGGGATAAAACGTGGCATATCTGTCTTATAATGTGATCTATGATAACTATAGCAGAATCATGTGTGACTCTGGTTATATTATGAAATCTTGTTATGAAAGTCTATTATGCAGTTGTAATTTTTATATGATCCCTTGGTATCACTACAGAAATGTGTTCAGCATGCTCAAAAATAAACATTTTCATGCTTGTCACATTTTATTTTAGCTGTGTGGTACCTTTGTTATTATTTGTATTGTGCTTGCCTGTGTTACCAGCAATTGTGATATGTGTGCAGATAGTGGAAGCTAGAGCAATGTTAACTCAGGCTTTAGACAAACGAGGTAAGGATAAGAAAGAATCTGACTCATCTGCGGGGGGCAATATTCCTTCAAAAGAGGAGGAACAACATCTCTTTGTGCCAAACAGTGCTCCTCTTGAATCTGTACCTCTTCAGGCATCTGTTGTTGAAGAGGTCCCATCCGTGTTTGTGTCTGATGTTGAAATGGAGAAACATGCCACTCAAAGTGATGTTCCACAAATTAGTGTCAAGTCTGTGGTTGAAGAGGCACCGGTAAAACCATCTGCGGAACAATCAGCATCTGGTTCAACCAATAGATTTTTGGATGAAACCTATGACGAGGATGCTGATGATTGGTTGAAAGAAGAGGATAGTTCTGAAGTGGTCGGTCCCAGTGGAACTTCTATTCAAACAGTTAATGATGAGGATGTGTCATTCAGTGATCTTGAGGAGGATGATGGTGATGTTCATGAAAGTTATAAGAAAACTAGATCAGGCTCTGACTCTTCAACAAAAGACTCCCGAGATTGGGTTCAGTTAGGTAGAGGTTCCCCTTCTGATAAGGATAGGTTCTCTGTTGAAAGCAAACATGCTGAGTCTGAGCTTTCAAGTTCTCGTAATTCTGTGGCCAAGGAGTCCAATGATTGGCTTAACGTTGATGACATTGATGTAATATGATAATACCTTGGAATATGCCCCAGAGGTAAGTTTTTTATATATGATTCCCTTATATTTTGTGAATATCTGCATATAGTCTGTGTACTCTACGATTGACAATCTGAAAGACTTTTTTTGTAAATAAAACCAGTCTCCACTGGGCATTGTGCTGTGTATGGTTATTTATTGCACCTTACGTAAACTAAACTTCTATTTGATATCTGAATTTCTTGTTATTTGAGGCTTTTAATGCTTTTTAACTTACCTAAGTTGTTTTAAATGGCATTCATGATTATTTATTTAAAAGATGAGAACAACTACACTTTATGAACATATAGGGCAGGTGTTATCTATGACAAAGTTTCTAAGCATTTAATGCATAGTCATACTAGGGCTATTTGGTTCTGATCTACCTATAGAATCCTAGATGTTTCTCTTGAGGATTAACTGCTAAATTAAAGGACTACTTTCTTTCACCACCATACAGACACGAAACATATAGTTGCTGTGCCTAAAAGTCAGATATCTGAAGTAGTTTCTGCTTACTACTAGTGTTTTGGGCTTTGGTGTTTCTGTTAACATTAAGAAGCATCAGTCTTGCTCTTGTATCTTTAATTCTCGTTAAGCCTTTATCAGTGTTATTTTTTTATTTTTTTATTTTAATTAGAAAAGGATAGTTAATACGTGAAAAGGGGCATGAGCGGTTGTTGATTTACTTTAATCATGCAGATTACTGGTTCTGTTCTGTTTTATTGGTGATGTGAATTACTGGATTAGGTATGTTGACATGTTACAGCCTCGATGGTAGTTGCATATTGTTTTTGTAAGCATGCCTGTAATGATAAATAATTCGACCTTTTTAATATTAATAGAAGACATGGAAACAAACTAAGATAGTAAGATTAATTGTTACGCACAACTTACTGTAGAATCTGATAGAATTATTTTTAGTACATCGTCAATTTGGTCCTTCTATTATTCTAAGTATCATTCTCTCTTTTATTTGATCCTTAAAAGTATTACGAATTTAAGAAGTTTGTAAAGTTTTGTACCATCTATCCTGTTAGTTTCTCTGTTCATGAAGCTGTTCTTGAGTCTGGTAAGTGATAGACTTAGGAATTTATTTAATTTTCCTTCTCAAATGTGTATCTATTTTATTTTTCTCTAAAAAAACATCAATATGATTCCTTAGGATTAGATACAACACATAGTACCAAACTAGTGTCCTAAACTTGTAGATTTGTCTGGCAAGATAAAAGACAATACTTTGTTTAGAAATTTATTTTGCTTAAATAAGTATATATATGTTGCTTGATTTTCTTATTAATTGTTTAACAGGAGATAAAAGTCCAGTGAAGATTTTAAAAGAAAATTGGTTTTAATGACTAATATAATCCGACTTTTTTCTGTTGAAGTTCATAAAACCTTAGGGTTAAATATTTTAAGAACTAATAAGAGGGAGAATGATTGCTCGATGGTTTACTCTATTTTTGGTAATCAAAGCCTTACTTTTAGTTAAAAAGGTATTTGATTTTAGAAATATTCTCCACTTTTATTATTTTTTTATTACAAGAATGATGTATTATTTTATTTTGTTCCTTTTTTTTTTTAAATCTGTAGAGGAAACAAAATAATGGAAATGAATAATTGCATTATTTTCTGTTTTTATTTTCTATTTTTAATGTTTTTTCTTTTATGTTAAGTTTTGAAAACAAAAAAATAAAATAAAGAGATATATTTTTAATTAAAAAATGAATACAGATTTAAAACTAAATGGTTCCTAATTGTTGCCAATTTAGTTATCTAGATGAAAGTAACAATTATTGTATGGATTATCAATATTCATTGGAAAATTATTAACAATACCTATGGTAGTCCTTAATGTAGATTTTGACCGTTGTTAGTTGTGCTGTAGTGTTGGAAAACTTTTAACTAGAGTGTGTTGTCGCTATTTAATAGCTGACTGGTATGCAAATCAGTGTGCAGATAGACAATAGTTAGTAGGATAAATGCTAGTATTAAAACTCTTTTAAGCTTGTGTTCATGACTGGGTAGAATTTACCATATTTACTAAGCAATTAGTTTTCTTGTTTAGTTGGTCCTGTTCATTGTTTAGTGGTATTCACACGAGTTTTGATAAGTAACAGAATATGTTCATATTCCTCTCGGTGTAAAAGAATTCAATAGTTGTAAATATGTCAAATATCTTGTTTCATTTTCTCCTTTGAACATTTCTTGCGACATTTTTGAGTCATCTTCTGTCGTTATTAGTCTACGCGCACATGCAAGTATAAATTTGATTTAGATTTTATTTTCGTAGCCACACCGCAAGGGTCAATAAGATTAGGAGGATGATAGCCAGAGCCATAACGTTGTAACAAAACTAATAGAAAGAGCTTATAATTTATTATTTTTATTATTCATTTCCACTTCATTAGTGCTTAAAAATAACACTGGTAGCTTTGGGGAGAGACATGAAAAGTCATTGTGTACAAAATAAATTAAGGTCTTATAAAAGCATAGTTACTAAATAAACATTGTCAAATCATGGTTAGCAATTAATGTTTGAGATGAATTAGAAATCATGGTGGGATATATTGCTCTTGTTTGCACTTGTCTTATAAAAACAGAAGGGAAACTGTTTATATCATCAAGAGGAGAAAGGCTAGTTTTGTTGGCTGCTTCCTCCCTCAAGTATGGATAGGCCTAAATGTTCTCAACTAGTTTGAAGCTTTTAATTTAATGAATAGATCAAACCAAAATCAAACATTGAAAATTGGGATGAGAATATCAGTAAAACTATTTACTATATAGCTAATGCTCATCCGTCTTTTGGTAACGTGCACCGATTAATTTGTAAAATCTCATTTCTCATCGTGTAATAGGAGGCACGGATATTCAGGTGAGAAAAATATGTACAATGACCGCGAAATCAAAACGCAAGCTAACATATAATCAGTTAGTTAAGTTAAAGGAAAAGAAAAATACTAAAAAAAAAAATCATTGTAAAGAGCTATTTAGCGGTGATATTCGTTGAAGTATAATTGAGGAGGAAAGAGGTTGTCAGGATCTATCTAATGGGGCCAAAACCGGTGGAAAGGCGTTCTAATCGAGACCATAGTAAGCTTCCGAGAGAGAGTCTTGGCTTCGCTTCCACACTGTCCTTGGTTTTGTGTATAACCGAAGAAGACGATGATTGATGTAGCCTATGAGGTGAGTTGTTGTGATCAATGACTACGGATCCACCAGTCTCTTGTCTCACCAATTCCACGATATTTGGCTTAACTTCTTCACCCGCACAATCTGTGACAAAGAATGATCCAACCGCTTTTCCTCTCTCTGTTCCAATCTCAATCCTTGATATGGATAACCCATTTTCACGAAACACCCGCGTCACACTCGATAGTAGTCCCATTCTATTTTCAGTTCCAATATCTACCCTCAATCCATGCGAGACTCTGCGCTCAACTGCGGCGATTAAGCATAGGGTGAGTTTTTGCTTATCGCTTTCACTGGGCAAAACCGAACTACCCGTGCTCTGTCTTATGTAGTACTCCTATGCATAAGAATAGTAATAAGTATTAGAATAACATGTCCACTAATGACTAAACTAAGTTGGGAGATGTTATTACGTACCTGATGAGCCATGGATCTCTTGGAAGTAATGGCGGCGTGAAACACCACATACTGCATGTCCGTTAACACGCACACGGTGTCGAACAAGAGCTTAGGACGGTCCCTGCTCCTGACGTAAACGACCAAGTACCCTTTGTCCTCGCATATACCGACAGACACGTGGGTCCCATCACAGCCCTTCTTGTGCTCCCCGCTACTGTCCCCGTCACACGCGTGGCAACTCTCGTAATCTCTGTCCGCATACATCAGCTGGTGTAGCCGCCGCTCCCTGTGGGTGTGCCCCGCCCCCAATTTCGTCACCCTCACTCTCTTCCTCTCTCCCCTTCTGCTATGGGCCGCCACAACCTTTTCCAGCTTCTCCTCCACTAGGCCCAACCGTTTTGGGTCGCGTATGGGCCCAGCTTCCGACGCTTCTTCCACGAATATAATACAGGCCACCCTGTCGTTGTGGGTCCATGCCGTTGCAGAGGTAACGACGCAGCCCAACTCTACCAACACTCTTGATAGCTCTGATAGTAGGCCGGCTCGGTCCATCCCACTCATCTCCAACGCTGTCATCTCCCTTCCCTCCTTCTCTTCCTCTCCTCCTTTCTCACTGCCCACTTCTGTTTCTCTTCCCTTCTCCCCTTTTCTTCTTGTTGCGCACAGTTCCTGCATCATTAATATTTTTCTTTCGCATGCTTCAAATTCCTCATTTATTTCCAATAATTAATTTACATATCTCTTAAAATTAATAATTTGCTCCTTCCTTTTACTCTTTTTGTTTCAATTTAGTTTCTTAAGTTTGACAAAATTCGCTTTAAGATATTTCTGTTAGACTAAAATGATCCCTCTTTCATCAGTTATACTAATTTAGTCATAATAAGCTTGTTAATACGAACAAAAAAAGTCTCATCAGATATGCATTGATTATATCAAACAAAACTTATTTATTCGTTTAAGATAGATATCATCGTTGAAAATGTAACTTAGCTCAAAAATTATATTATAATTTATCGATAAATTCAGAGATTCATTTCTATATTTTAACATTTAGATAATAAAACATGAAGTACAATGCATTTAGTTTTAATATTTCTAATAATTTGAAGTGTGACGTCGTTACATTTTAAGAGCCAATAATATATGTAGAAAGAGACAGAATCACCTGCTGGATGTGGAGCATGAGGGTTTCGTCTGTGAGCTTCTTGCCAGCTTTATCAGTCACATGGAACACTGAATTTTGCAATAAAGAAAAAGACCCAAAAGACATGGATCAGAAGCGGACTATTAACGTACGTTTGCAGATACTGAGAGTGTCCTACCTAGATATGGGGCTTGTTGTTATGCGACTCATGCATAGCTCATGCATGATTAAAAAAAGTAACAAGCTGTTTAATAATTATACATCGTTTCTGTGGATTGGAGAAAATGCAGAAAGCTGAGGAATAAACGGGACTCAAGAGGGAGACACTGACCGTCCATAAACCATCCACCATCAGAGGAAATATATGATTTGGAAATGATGAGATCAAGATCTGTCAGCACTTGGACCATCTCCAATAATATGCCCTTCCTGTTTGCACTATCAACCTGCTTTTCCACAACACACATTTTATTAAATTTAATGCTTCCTTTTTCAAAAAAAAACGAAGTCAAGGTCTTCTAATTCACACGCCCATGTACTTAAATTAGCAGTTGTTTTAGACCTCTGTTTAGCCCAAAGCCTCAACCATTTGATTCTTTTTGCTTGCTTGCTGCATGCAGTTTTTGTCTCTGATTTCTAAGCCAGTCTGAGTCTTTTTTTTTTTTTTAAATTATAGAGTTCATCAAAACATTATATATATATATATATATATATATATATATATATATATATATATATATATATATATAATATACTTTCTAAAATATAATAAGTTTTTTTCTCTCTCAGTGGTTCATATCATTCATCTTATGCCATTCATCTCTATCTGTTCTTCTTCAAAGAAAGTATATAAATATAACCCCTGACACGACTGACGGATTACGTCATTTTGATAGAATACAATCAAAATTTGGTTTTCTTAAAGAAGAAGAGCTTTTTCATTTTTTCTTGAATTCTTATATGATTACAAAATGGAGAATTCTTTTATCCTTTGTCATTCTATCCTCTTGTAATGGTTAAAAAAGCAAGCACGTACCACAATTTGCATTGGTTTAAACTACCAAGTGTTGTAGTGACAACTCAATGTCTTTGCATCAAATATAATCATATAATATAATAATGACTAGTTATCATACTTAAGTGCCAAGTGGTAATGTGCATAATGGACATCAATCTAATATGTATCATGTTCTTCCCTTTTCCTATATACTCAACGATTTATCTCACGAAGTAGTAATAGTACTCGCTGTGGGTGATGAGATGATCACTGAAAGCAATAAATGACGAATAGGGAACAAACAACGAATTCAAGCATACTGGAAGAGTCAAGTACCCAATGATTAAGGGTAGATTGATAATTTAAGACATGCAATTTGAATATGTAGAATGATATCTAACCTTCACTACAGTGCAGTCTCGGCAAGAATCATTATCGATGCAGACCCTGCCAGCACATAATCAAATAAGTGAATTCATTAAGTAAGCAATCCACCATGATTCGGCTAAGCCAGGAAAACAAATATGTGTATCAAGTTAAACAAGCATCAGAAGACGACAAGAAATTGCCACAGAGGTTGAACAGCAGCACCTGGGAGGATGTATTCTTTCTATGAGCGATTCAATCTCGCGATCGATGTGGGACTGGTAACATATTTCCATTCTTTCTTTATCAACGATTTGACTCTGGAAGCTGTTGGGTGATAACCCAAGAACCTGAGTTGCTATCTCTATAATAAAGACTCAGAGGCTGTTAACATGTTTATCCATTTTAAAAAAAAAAAGCTTAACATATGTTTAGAAACTTTAGAATAGAGAAATCATGTTTAAGACGTGGAAGATATAATTAGTAGCTCCCAAAACACGTGAAAAATGGCGTCCAAGAAAGAGGTGAAACCAAACAAGCTAACATAAGCGTTAAAAGGGAATGAAAGAAAGAAAGCGCGCATATTTTGTTTCCAAAGCGATAACACAGAAATTGTGACATATATCCTAACAAATTATTTGTTTAAATTGAAAAGAAAGTCGTGTGGAAATTAGCAGGGTTTTCCGTTGATTGTAGCACCGAAGCTTTGAAAGAACTGATATATAAAATTCGTGCATTATGAGGAATTTTAGAAAAGAAAAGGAGAAAGGTGAATGAGAAGGGTAGGGTAGGGCGATTACCTTTTGTTGATGAAGGGATAGCAGCAGGTGAAATGCATGGAGTGGAGGTTTCGATTTGAGAAAGGATTGGAGAGAAGAGGATGAAAGAACGGACCAAATCCTGATATTTTCTAAATTTGGCAGTGCGGTCTCTATTAGGAAAACCAAGTGGTTTTCAATTTTCTCACGTAGTAGTAGTAGTAGTATAAGCTAAACCCCGCGTAGCCTTAAAACATTGGAAAATGGAAACCCAACGAAACTGCAAAAAGTCTGGGTTCTCTACCCTTTGGTACGTTGTAGTTGTTGGGAGCTGCGTTTGTGCGTGTCATTTGGAGATACGACATAGCATTACTGCTAATAACGCGAGAGAGTTGCTTCTGGCTTGGTAAACGGGAACAGAAAGTAAAATAGAAAGTAGAACGTGTTGTTACGGGGTCAATCTAGTAACTGGAGCGAGAACTGTTATTGTGGTAATGCCACGTGTCCTTTGTTTTGTAGGTGTACAGTTCTGGTATAGTGGGGAACTTGCACATGATAAAGTCAAATACTATTACTCACGATGATGATGTGCTGGCATCACTCATCACATCCCCACGTGTCTGCGTTAAACACTCTTTGCTATTCCCTTCTCGAATCGCATCACACTTCTACTTTTCCCTTCATACATAACTTTTTCAAAACAACTACGAACACCTTCGGCTTTGTATTTTCTGAATCAAATAGTTTTTTTTTTTTCGAAAACATATTCCACTATATATATATATATATATATATATATATATATATATATATATATATATATATATATATATTATGAGAAAAATAAAAAGAGTGGGTATTTTACTTAAAGCTTAAAATTTGTACATCATAGGTAAAATTAGAAATTTTGACTTGTTAATAACTTTCTAATTTACTTATTTCTGTATCTCACAATTAAGATGTTATTGTATCAGTTTCCTTAGTCATTCCCGTTTGTTTAGAGAGTCCTTTCTTTCTTTCTTTTCCATTTTCATTTTCTAGATTTTACCAAGTCAGCAAGCCTAAGCCAACCTTGAACGTTAACCCTTTCTCCATTTGTTACTTCTGTTTTTGCTTATTAATTATGGTAGCTAGCTGGTAAGAGACTCGGGGCAATATCCAAATGAGAGAAGCGTCCACAAAGACCAGCCCATAAGAGATATATCTCCAAAAAAAAAAAAAAAAGGAGCGAAAAATTTAGTGGTGGTGGTGATTCGTATGTGGCGTGACGGCTGAATTGAAGATGACGCTTGGGGCTATTGCTTCCACCAAAAACAACCAATAGGAAACAAAACTTCAACTCCAGCGCAAACCCTTAAATTTTGACCTCATAACCTTCTCCCGGGTCTGTCTCAATTTTCTCCATCTATTTAACATCGTTTGGTTTGGGTCAGCTACATGAATTGGTCAGTTTAAAATATCCGTAACTGGGGTTAATGGAGGTGCAGTTAGTTCGTCAGGGTTTTGGTTTTGATTATGTCCGTAAAAGAAAGAAATGGATCTTCATTTTGTGTGCTGTTGGGTTCGGTGGGTTCAGCGCTTACAAGCTCTATCACGCGCCTTCTGTGGTTCGTAAGAGAAAGAGGCTTTCGAAGCTTCTGGCTGCATTGGCTTCCGTAGCGGAGGCCGTATCCGAATCTGCAGATACCATTGGAATCGTATCCAGAGACGTCAAGGATTTTCTGCAGTCCGATTCAGATCAAATCCCCAATAGCTTGAAGCAAATTTCCAAGATTGCTCGCTCCCAACACTTGTCGGAGTCCTTGGTTACCGTTACCAGTGCTGTCACCGTCGGAGTCTTGCGCGGTTATCAATCTATGAACCGGACTGGGGGTGATCAAACCGGTTCAACCGTCGTGGATCGGGTGCTTGACAAAATGCTTACACCAGCTGGGTCGGGTTTTGCTTCCGTCGTTCTTGGAAGCTTTGCTAGGAACCTGGTTCTTGCGTTTTATTCGGATCAACATACCCGTGGGGAGTCCAACTCGAGTAATGGGACTAGTGGTGTCGCACATGTTGGATCCAATTCGGATCCTGTTCTTGCTTGGGTGGATGTAGTTTGTGGAGATAGGTGTGGGGAACTAATTGGGAATTGTGTGCAATTGTTTGTGAGCACCGCGGTTGCGGTTTATCTTGACAAGACCATGCATATCAACACCTATGATGATTTCTTTGCTGGCTTAACTAACCCGAAACATGAGACCAATGTGAGGGAAATGTTGGTTTCTGTTTGTAATGGTGCCGTGGAGACTCTCATCAAGACGTCTCACAAAGTATTAACAAGTTCTGGTGCTGATGTTGGTTCGGGTTCGGGTTCATATTTGGCTATTAGAAAAACTCTGATAAATGAGGATTTGGGTGGAGGAATGTCTTCGATTCAATCGAAGGTTGATGATGATTATGATGAAGAAAATAAGAGTGGCTGGGTGAACAAGATTTCCTCAACTTTGGCGGTTCCCAGTAATAGGAGGTTTGTTCTTGACATGACCGGAAGGGTGACATTTGAGACTGTTAGGTCGTTCATGGAGTTTGTTTTGCAGATATTTTGTGCTTCAGTGACGAGATTTGTTCATGTTGTTCAAGAGGCAGTACTTGAGATTGTGAGATATGTTGCAGCGAAATCCTCTGTTATTGTGGCTATATGTCTCTCGTTGTGCTTGCACATAATGGGTGGAGGCTGGGCTTTGGTGCCTGCTTAAGTAGTTGTTGTGACTACTTTTCACTCACCAAATAGATATTGGTAATTAAACTAGAAAACTTTCTGGAGATGCTACTTATTTGGGTTTGCACCTGTATCATAATATCTACATACCATACATGGATTAATTTTGTAAATGACTTTGAAAATCTTAAATATTATAAATGTACAGTGACCATAGAAGTTATGTATTCTCTTATATTGTAAACTCATGTGCCACCTCCAGAACTCTCTCATAGAAACCCCTGCATTCATCAACCAGCAATACTATTTGTTTAGGGTGTATCAATCATTGATTAAACCCATTCATGAATTGGAATCTTGTTGTAAATACATCATTCTGTATACTTTGGCTATACGATTTTATTTTTTTTTGGCCTGGGTACATTCTCGGGTCATTTGAACTCTTGCCCCCTCTCCCCTTTTGGATATGACAACTCTGTTTCATGTTCTCTTTTGGATATAACTACTTTGTTATTGCATGACGAAACTGAATGAGAAGTTGAATTGCTGACTGAGATTTTTTAATGCCTTGTTAACTTAGTTTGTTTAGAATTCCCTCGTGGATAATGTTTTTAATCTGCTGTTGGAGGGGCATAGCCAACGCTGATGGCATTTCATACGCTGCAATTGTTATTAGTTATTACTGTTACACTTCTTAATCTGTGTGCTTAAACATTGCAACTAACATATACTCGTCCATTCTCTAAACGCCCTTCCTTTTTGAATTATTCATTCATTTCATCATCAGTGAAAGTGGAATGTTTGATATCTGGCTAGCAATGGCAGAGGAAATTGCAATTATGCACGTTTGATATATGGCTAGCTTCACATTAGTAAGCATTTAAAACAGCTAAAACTCCACTTTTATTGGCGAGTCGTGCAACACTTGTCGTTATGGGGGTGTCACCTGCCAAATCAACTCGTTAGTTAATTATTACTTAATTGTGTTGTATGAATTAGAAGAACTTGGGTTATGTGATAATTTCTTCGATAGAAGAATGGGGATTGCGATCTAATCAATGGGTGCTTTCATGGGTCAGATCCAACTTTACCATGATGGATAGAAGATTAAAGGACAACGTTACCGGTGAAATCAGAGTATTAACACGCTAGTGATAGTGTAAATACTGGTTTGGCAAGAACGCGTGAAGAATAATTATATCCCATTATCTGTTAAGCTCAACTCTTCCCTTATGACAACATATCATATGGATCTATTTGTGTGTAAACAAGCTGTCATTGGACCAAACGTAAAATCAAATACCATGAGAAAGGCTCCATACTAAGATTATGATGGAAACATCACTGAATGCTTCGATGGACCTCGAGGGTAAAATCTCCACTCTATATAGGGAGATGATAGTAGTAGAGCCCCATTAGGAAACCTCACGGATGGGATGATTTCTTATACTAGCATTTGTCCATATTTTATTATTGCTTGTGTGTCAAACAATGAATGGGTTTGTTAGATGTTGTCGTAAGATTGTTATTCTCCTTTTCATTGCTGTAAGAGAATGAAAAGTTTTACAGTAAAAAACTATTCCTTATATTTCTGGAGGTTCTATTCATGGCCTTACAAATCGGGAGTCCATTGATAGTGGTCCTTAACACCAAGAGACAGAAACTTATTTCACCCTTTGTCACATGGCTGGTTGGGTTTTGAAAATGCTTGGTTGAACTTCAATATTCTCCAAGTCCTCTTAATCGAAATTTCCTCGTTCATGGAAAAAGTCAACCTAGATAGAAGTATATATATTGATTCAGCATTCCACGAATGAAACCAGGCAACGGCGTACCCAGTTATCCACAAGCTGCTTGCATCACATTTAATTCTTTTAAAATGAGAGAGCTTACTTTAAATGATAAATTATTATCAGGCTTAAATAATTTTTTCATCTTCTTACAAATGAGAAAATTACAATTATACCCGTACTTCACTTTTAAAATAAATCTCCCTTATCACTAAAATATTAATAAAAATATTAGTTTGGTTATCATCATGATATTTAATAACTTTTTAAATCCCATAAATATCGATATATCTTTTATTTTATTATTAAAAGATAAGATGGTTGAAGAAATTAATGGTAAGATCTTGAAAATGTGAAATAGAAAATTGAGTTTCATTACATTACAATAAATATTTGTTTCCAGTTAGTCTTATAAGGAGGTTTGTAGTGTATAAAATTTTATTTGACAAGTTCCAGAATTTCTTATTTTTGCTCGCTGGATTAATGTTGAAATATTTCATTTAAGCAAAATCTTCTTTAGTATTACTGATACTAGAATAAGAATGAAACACCAAATAAGATATTGTTATTATGAAAACCGATAAAATAAAAATATAATCGAACTATTTACAATCAAAATAAATTTTTCCATAAAAAATCTTCGTTTGATTTTGACTTTTACAGATAACTTATTTAGAAATTTTTGGATGAAATAAATAAATAGAAATGGTATAGGCATGTTTATATTCACGCAAGTATTTTATTTAAAATTTGATAATTTTTAACATTAACATAATATATAATTTTTTTATCTCATTAAAATGTAATAATTTTTATTATTATAAAAAATTCACAATAGTTAATGTCAAAATAAAAAAATTATTATAATCATTTTTTTATTTTTTAATTATCCATCTTTATTAATGTCACTTTTTAATTGTTAGAAATAAAAATATCAAAATGAATCAATAGATTGAGTTGATAAAAAAATTCAGTGCCTTAATTGAGCAAAGCTTTTGTATGTAAATTTAATAAGTCTCAAAAATAAAAATATGTTATCTTTGTAAAATATAGAATATTTAAAATATATGTTAATATCATTCTTTTACTATTAAAACTCTGAAATTTCTCATAAAAACGTGTAATTTCAAATTTTTATGGTGCTAGTGATCTATCATCCCTTAATATATACATATATATATATATATAGAGAGAGAGAGAGAGAGAGAGAACTCTTTCAAACAACTATTAATTAAACTTTTGAATTAAAATCAAAGTTATAATTTTTTATTTCAGTCCTTACAACTAAAACATCTTTTTTATTTTAATTTCTATAAATATATTTTTAAATTTATTAGTTCATGATGTCATATATTAAGTTAACAACGTTTTTATTATCGAAAAGTTATCATAACATTGAAGTTAATAGAAAAAAATAATAAACTAAAATAAAATTAATTTAAAAATAATAATAAATAAATAAAATATAACTTACACTAAATTTAAAATATTTATGAAATTAAATATCCAATTAAACCATCACACATTTCAAATACATCCTTACTTTGTTGGTCACAAATGAATTCTCTCCTGTATTTTTTCAGCTATTTGGAGAAGATAACATCAACAGCAAAATGATTGATTGAAGAGTTATGGCAAGTTAACGCCTGCAATAATTTTATATAACAGTTTTTTTCTTCTATGCCTCTTATCTATGGCAGTGAGTTTTAAATAACATCTGCACTGTCTTAAATCTCAACCCTATTCCAGAGAGAAATAACTTGCATTAAAAGGCATAAAATGTTTTTTTATGCATAAGTATTTAAAGAAAAGCTTATAAAAATGTTTATAATTTTTATAGCTTGTTTTCTGAAAAATTTATAGAAAAGTTATGGAGGCTAGTTTTAGTGAGCAGAGCCCAATATTATTTTGTTATTTATTGTAAATAAAAATATGATATAAATTAATTTGAAGATAAATTACAAATTTGTTAAAATTGAAACATCAATTAAATTAAAAATATTGAAGGTTAAAAAGAAAGTAATAAAAATATCAAGACTTCTTTACAAAATTGTTGATAATAAAGAATTAATGAAAAGCAGAAAGTAAAAGAAGGATGTGCTTGCTTTTATTGAAAAGATAACTGATAAGACAATTACCAAGTAAACAAATACTAGTTCAATACAATACTAAATAAAACAAGTTACCAACAGGTAATGTACAATACTAAACAACAATTAATATTAGTTGTTGTCATCCTCTGTATAAATATAATCTAGATTTGAAGTAAGTGTTCTCCTCTTCAAACATTCTTCATCTTTAACGTCACAGTGTGCACTCTCCAAGAGATCCTAAAAAGATGAAAATATATGGATCAGACCCTTGCAGAATATCCACTGAGAATAATAATAAAACTAATGTAAAAACCAATAAGAGAAGCAATAAAACAGAACTAACCGGATTTAGTTTTCCTCCCTTGCGAAAGAGTTTGGCCTGGTTAGTCATGCAGCAGCTGAGGAACAGAGCCACAAAGAACAGGGCTGCGATCTTCCTCATATTTGGTTTATGTAGAGAAGACAAAAGAAAAATGATGGAGACAGATAAAAAGGAGAGAGATTTTGTGTGTTGAATATATGGTGGCAGGGATTTGAAGGTGTCAATTTATAGAGATAAGGCGCTAAAAGAAAGTGTGAACTTTGGAAGGTGAAGAGGGAATTTATTTAATGCAGAGGTGATGATATTCTCTAGGACCAAAAACAACCCAAAAAAAGTATTCTCCTTTTTCTTTTTTTAACAAAATATTAATTGGTCATATCAATAGTGGGGAAATTTTGAGCAGAACCAAAAGTCAAGCAGAACCACAAGTAATGAACCAAAAAAACAAATGCAAGAAAAGAAAGATTCCAACTTTGAAATTCCCCACTTGTTATTTATAGGATTACTTCTTTGTCTCTGTTTTTAGACATAGAGAGATAATGAAGGAACAGCGTAAATGTGTGCTGTGTTTAGCTCTAGCAGTGGGAAATAACTTGCATTTTTTCTGCATGACTTGTTTGATTGTACTTTCTCAATTTGCATGTGTCCTGCACTTTAACCATACAATGTAGAGCATAGATGTGTTGCTCATATTATAAATATCTTTATGTTACTATTTAATTAAAAATAACGTACAATTAATTTGTTAGTTTTTTAATATTTATTTCAAAATTTACATAGAAAATCTATTTTGGCCCGCATGTAAAAATGTGTTAAATAAGAAACAGTTTGTAATTGTGCTGTAGAAATTAGGGATGAATTTAACTCATGCTGCCGAATGAAATCCAACAAACTCATGATAAAAGAATATAATTGGATAGATTTATACGGATTATTGGGTACATTCATTAATTTTTAAATTTGTTGGATAGCACTTTTTTTTATTTCTCTAATTTTAATGATGTTTTTTCTTTAAAAATTTGCATTTTATAATTACAACTTTTTTACCTTAAAAATTCAGATGGATTCAAAATATTGTGTCTTCAGTGGTTTAAACAATCACAAAATAAAATTTAAAAAACTAAAAGGAACTGATTTAGAATTCTTTTTGCAAGTTGAAAAAAAAAAGATAAAGTAACCTACCATTTTTTAAATATTTTCTTATCACATGATTAATTTTATTACACTTATAATTTTATTTTTCATGTGTATCTTCCATCAAAACAAATCTATTTTCTCCGACAAATATCTAATGAGCAGAAAACACAAAGTAACCCTTGTTGTATTATACATAATGAGTCCTCATGTGATGATGAGTTGTCAATCATATGCACCAATGAAGCCTCTGGTTTCTGATTGAGAAGCTTGTACAAATAGAAGAGTGGTGAATCTTGACAAACTTGACAAGATTACTGAAAATGGAATATGATCCCTAATTCTCCATTGACAGCAAAAATATGTACATAAATCATCTCCAAAGGACAATTAATCTATGTCTATCTCACTAGTGCATCTCTTCAAGCTTAATTCTAGCCACTTTTTTCTTCCTAAAACTAGGTTTATTAATTGGCTTCCTCAATTGAAATTTGTTTTATGCATAGATATTAGATAACAAATTTCACTAGCGCCATTAATAGAACAAGGAAAATCTAACATAGAAAAAATGAATAATTCCTAAATACTTCCATCGACCTTCGCTTATAAGTTCTGGTATCTGCGAGAGTTTTGCTACCATGCATAAAGAAAATTATGTTACAATTTAAAATACTTGTACCAAAAGAAAACACAGAAAACTATTTATGTTTGACAATTTTTATAACAATATAATAATAAAAATATAGTATAGAAATTAGTATTGTTATAAAATGGTTATGCATATAAAAAAGAAGAGATCGTATTGTATGATAAATCTTAACGTTCGATTGCAAAACTGCTTTCAGATAATCTAAAGAGAACAAAAACATGTCAGTTAGGTTAGTTGAATCCAATGGGTAGCTGAATCTTAAAAAAAAAAATCTTAATAATTTATTTATTTCTGAATAATTATTAATATAAAATATTTTACAATCATACATAAATTAAAATATTTTGTAATGCTTCATTTATACACAATGTATAAAAGGGCCCTATTTCCCCATCAATTACCTGTAATCAAATTTTGATAGAAAATATAGCCTTTATTTGTCATAATTCGTTTTAACCTGTTTTTTTAAGAGATAAAAACAAGTTGAATAACATTTAAAATAACAAGTTAAAAAATGTTTAAAATGGAGTTTTGTAACACGTTGAGCTTTTAAATTCCATTTTCTATTTTTCTTTATTTGGAATCTTAAGATTTAAGAATATACATTTCAAAACATTTGTTCGAATTAACATTGAAGCTCAACATTTTACTCAAAACTTAAATAATTCAGTAGGAATGCATAGTTAATGTCACTATTATATTTTACTACATCAATAATTCTAATTAATAGCATAATTATTTAACATTTGGAGTCTTAAATTTACGTTTTAATGTCGAAAAATGAAAGATATTTAAAATAGTTTAAAATTGCTTATAATTTTAAGGGAGTTTTAAAAAAGTTTTTCACTCCCGCCCTTTTTTTCTTTTCGAATTTTGGACACACAGGATGAGATTTTGCTGGCCTGGTTCGCAGAGGCCACAGAAAAAAAAACCCGAAAAAGGAGGCCCAACTTTTGTGTAAAGACAAAACCGAGCTCGCTTCCATGGAAACCCAACAATAATAAGGGGTCAAAAAATTTGAACCGAGCAAACTTAAATGATTGTTTAAAACCGCTTTTACTAATGCACATTTGGTTCCGTGTTTTTCTATTTTATTTTTTAAAAGAATATTTTTCTAAAGTACCTACTACTTTTAATTAAATAGCATTTTATAAAATTGTTTAGCCTAGTTTATTAAAAAAAAAAAAACTATTGTACGTTAGTCCAAAAATTTCTATCCAATAGTCTCAAGAATTAGTCTTTATTCTTACATAATCAGAGTTATTAAAGAGTGAAGTGAACCGAAGACTCATTTTAATTACTAGGTAAAATTGTTACTCGTAATTCTAATTTTAGGAATATGGGTATAATAACTTACCTATGAAAGTAATAATTAATAGAATAATTTTATGGAAGTTATTTGTCTCTTATTTTTCATGTTTATGTAACTCTGTGATTGATAGAATTTTATAAATACTAAAGATTTGAAACTGTAGAACATATTTTAAATTTATAACAATAACAAGGAAAAGAGGTATGTCTTATCTCTTATTTCCTATTTAGTTTCTTTTGCTGATTGAAATATATTAAAACTATTGGAATATTGTTGAGTACTTGATTTTTATTTGAGAATTTGAAACAATTATGATTTAAATATATTAGTTAGTTATGGCGACTTTATGATTTTGGAAACTGTTATCTTTTTTTTCTTCCATAAAATATATTATGTTTGGTTGATTGGAAGTTACGTATTACTGAATTATTTAGATATAGTAGTTATTCAACGAAACCTAAAGTTCATATTTATATAAGTACTTATTTTTGGATTCATGCACCATGATATATTTATAAGTGGAAACCTAATTTTGATATTTCAGATGAGGATTTTAAAGTTGGCTAAGAAGATATCTACAAATAAAAAGAGTACAAATTCCACTCTTTAGATGAGCAGTTTCATGTAAACTAAAAGGAAGAGATGAAATATAAATTAAAAATTTGATAATATTATAATGTATAAATGAATATAATTTATATTTTATTGAATTAATTATAAAATATTAAGTTAAACATTGTATAATTTTTATGATTAATTTTTTTAAAAAACGTCATTTTATCATATAACATTTACCTGTAGACTATGTCAAAAGCTTCGGTCTCAAAAATATTTGTTTACAAAAACACTCCCTGGTGTGTGGCTTTGCCGTTGGAGAACAAACAGAGTCGTAGCATTCCAAAAAAAACGATACAGGCCTAACTAGTGACTTGAATCTTACCTAACTCAAAATTACTAGGTGATGGTACGTAATTGATTATGTGTTACAGATGATTCATGTCCATCCACGTGAATGTGTCGGACTTGCGTACGTGGTCTGGGCGATTTCAAGAACAAACTCGTGCTTCATGTTTTCTTCAACATAATAGGACCACACTACCATGCCAAAAGCAAAAGAGGTACCTAAAGTAACCCCTTACAATTCTCTTTTATTTGCTATTACCTCTCACCTTTCTTCATTATTTACTTTTTTTTTTTCGTCAAAATATCCTGTTGGTCCTTTCCTACTTTTTTTTTCTGTCTTTTTATACACGATTCTTTTGGTACATTTTTTTTTAAATAACTTAATTTGTTTCGGTGTCCTCTAGATTAAGACTACATATATTCATACACATGTCATATTGAATTTAGTCACAAACTTTAGTTAAATTTGATTCTGTATTTTATATAATTTTATTTTCACTTTTTTACGAAAATAATATAAATATGAAACAACGAAATAATAAAAGAAATATAAAATAAACAATAAAAAAACTTATTATAGTAAGGGTGATTTATTAAGTTAGTGGAATAATCAGTGAAATCAAATGAATTGCCCTCACTTTATTTTGCTTAGGGCGTTCCTCCTTGCACCATAATTTTCAGCAATCATTGTACTCTCACGCTGTCAAAATAAAGCCAGCCACACATGTGAGGCCAAGTCTTGGTTAGATGTTGTTTAACCGTGCGAGTGATGCGATTCTATATTGATTTGGTCACTTTGTTTAATTATTTGTTTGAAATCGATTACCAATTTGTTGCCTTCTACAAAGTAGTGGGGTCAATAAGAGAAAAGAAATGCCATGTTTGACGCTCGAGTCTTTCACCAATTGGCCACCAAGCAGTGGAGAACATTGGTACAAAACTGTTACCTGCTCCATGGCCCATATGGTAGGGCATTTTGTTAATGGATGTTGCAGCTTTAAGGCTTCATAGTTATCATTTACAAACTCAGCCTAAGAATATTCCTCAAATTTATTACATTTTATTTCAAGTCTAACTCAAAATTGCATGCCCTAACTTTTTAGCGTACCCCTTCTCTTGATAATATTTTCAATAGCTGGAGCAATCATGCAGTGATTCTCACCAGCTGTGTGTGTGTGTGTCTGTGACTGAGCAGAATCTCAACTAACGGTATGTTTCCTTTCCTGGTTTGGCATAAAATGGTTTTATAGCTGCTCTTTCTAATACTTGTCACTATTGTTTATTCCTTGGACCGCTTTTCAAAACACCCTCTTCAACGGTTTAGCAGGTAGAAGGGCGAGGAAAATTGATAAATAGTAAGACTTCACCTCGTTCACATTAGTTTGATGTACAAAAAGCGGAGCACGTGCACCGTACAATAAAAAAAAGAGGATATGAAACGGCATATGTACAAACAGAACATAGTAATATGCAAAACAACAATATTGAAGATAATGGACACTGTTTTCAAAAATGGGATCTCACAGATTGGTTCAACTGAAAATTTTTAAATAATTAAATGAGGATAAAATTGAAAAAAAAATTAAATATTAATTAAATCAGAATAAAATTAAACTAAATTTTTTAATCAAATAAATTTTAGTAAAAAAAATTATTTATAATCAATTTTTTGTAATATAATTTTAAAAAATATGTATATAATTTATTTTAGTCTCTTTTTTATATCGATAAACTTAAGTTTGAGTTTAAAGCATACCAGAACTTAATTTTGTCTAAAAGTATGTTTGATGAGATGAAACTTGTGTAAATAAGGCTAATCAAAAGTACTTTAAGTGTGTAGTTATTGAAAAGGTGTAAAGTTTATTAAACATGAAATAATGATAAAAATATTACGTATATGTTATCAGCAAAAAAAATAAAAAATGGTTAGTTATTACTTAATAAAAATCCAAAACTTGGGAAAAAACAAAACACGAAGTGAGCCAATCTCTTGTTTCCAAAAGAAGAAAAATGTTGATGACAAAATAGTTTCTTGAGGCAACCAAAAAAATATATGACCATAAGGCATTAGGCATGACATGTTTAATGTTCAAAAGGGAATAGTTTCAAGTCACTAAACTGAAAATCAAGCATAGCCATGATGTCGTGGCATCGTAAAAGTGGCCTAGTCTAAGATTAACGGTTAGATCTCCGTGAAATTTAGCCTAGTGTTATGAGGTTACAAATAATTAAGTTGGAGTCTTATATTCTTCAGTGCGTCTCCCTTGATTAATTATGATTTAATTAATTTATAAAATAATGATATTTTATTAATAAGCTAATATAATTAAATGATAATAATTTTAAAAAACTGTTTAAATAGCATTGGAACGTGACTTTTTAACTTTTCACTACCGTAATTTTTATATCTCACAAAATATTAAACCAATCAAGAACAACAGGCAAAGAGAGAGAAAGTACGAAAAGATCTTTTTTTTCTTATATAATGTTTTGGAACCTTGTTTCAAACTCCTAAGATGATTCTAGCAACCTAGAGATTCTCCTACCAAAAACTTGAAGTGGATTTATTCTCCGGACAATTGTTTGTCGAATATACGTAGCTGCGCATGCGTTGCCATTTCCATACGTGCGTATGCTAACATACGCGTGTATGTTGCTACGAAAATATCATACACAATATTTAATTATTTAATACTACTGACGATCATTATCCATACCATGTCCTACCAAAAAGTAAAACAGCAAGAACAGAAAAAAAAAAAAAAAAGTTTAACCATTTTGTTGCCTTTAATATAGTGGCAGATGGATAGAAGAAATTATAAAATAGCATAATTCAATGATAAAAAACGATATAGTTTTAGGTTAATCATATACGAGGAGATACAGATGGTACTATAATTTGACTCCGTAGTAATATTAATGTGCGTATGCGGGCTGGGCCACTTGTGTATATTAAAAGAGGTTAATTGGACGCCACTTATCACCCTTGATGTCATGCATGGATAAAGAATTAGATTGTTTAAGTGGTGCACAACACAACTGCACTCTATTCATACACCTCTTCTGCTGCTGGCTTCTGTTTGGGGTAAGAACGGTGGAGCAACGTCATCATCATACATTGCCAATCATTGGACACTCATACACACACTTCTACACGTGTCAAGCGTCGACCCCACCTGGTAATTTTACCTTCGTCACTAAGCTTAAAATTCAGGGACCCACTCGCTTAGGTCACCAAATAAAAAAGTAATGACCCCACCACCACCCTAGTGCCCACTGACTCAAAAGCCATCCCATGTACAACAACAACAACATAGGTGTCTTTCCCAACACCAAATTTCCCAAAATGCCCCTCTTAAGCGTAACTTATTACGTAGGATTATCCCTACCACATGTCCATAAATACGAGCCCCCAAAGCTGCGTTTCTTCCCTTTCTCCCTCCTTCCTTCCCCCCTCCCTAGTTTCCAACCATGCTTCCTGCTCTTCCCGCTTCCGATCCTCTGCAGGGAAACACATTCCCCGCGTTGGACTATGCTTTCACGCCCTGGGATGGGCCTGAATTTTCGGCCCTCAAGCCCACTAGCCCCAACCCAGTCACCTCCAGTTCCGGTTCGGACGACCCCAATCGATCCCCTGCAGACGAAAATCTGGTGTTGGACCAGTCGAACCGGGCTGTGTCCGTCATGGAGGAACGAAAACGAAGGAGAATGATATCGAACAGGGAATCTGCCCGAAGGTCACGCTTGCGTAAACAGAGACACCTAGACAACTTACGGAACCAGATGAACCTGTTTAGGGTTGAAAACCGAGAACTGAACAACGGGTTGCAGTTCCTCCTTCACCACTGTAACCGTCTACGAACTGAAAACGAGTGGCTCCGGTCCGAACGAACCCTGCTCCGCCAAAAACTGGCCAACATAAATCAAATTATGCTTTTCCAACAATTGCAACCATTTTCCACTGCATGGCCGTGCAATATCGTCATGACAGAATAAACCTTTGATCACCATTAACCACGTAAAGCACTAATCACAAATCGGCCTTCCTTAAGTAATTAAAGACAGTAACTTGTCTTAATTTGTTGTCTGTGTTAAATATTAAGAGTAGTAAAAGGTGCAGTAGGGTGGGTGGTACCGGTGCTTTTTTTTTTGGCAAAACGGTAACGAGGTTTTGGAATCCTTGTTATTTTTTCTCAAAACCAGAAGGGTTATTAGTTATTACTATGTAAAGTATTACGTAGTGTTTTAGTTATAGTGTGAATGTAGCTTTTTGTGGTTGTTTGCTGATCAAATTTTAATAAAAAATTAATTATATTTAAATAACATAATTATTGTGACGAAGAGAAATGAAACGTGTATTTGTAAAAAAGGTTATGCATGCATGAAGTAAATATACGCACTCCGAGATCAAAGCAACAGAGATCTGACGTGCGCTGCATGAAGTGCTACAACTAATATATTTGGAAAATCAGTTTTAAATGACATTTTCATAGAGTAAGAGAGGGTAGAAAACAGTGTATACATGCAATTGGTGATATAATGTAATTAAAGAAAAATAATTAAAGAGTGTGATAATTGTTAATCTAGTACTTATATATATGAATTAATGATGTATATGTCATTACTCACACACGTATATAACTCTGTCATGCAAACAGTAGGTGCCAATGTTCATCAAACGTTTCGTTAATGTCCAAACGCGTTCTCAAATCTCCACTGTTAATTTTCTGTTGAAGCGTGTAAAGCTAATAGGTTCTAATGTTATTTTCAATATTTGGGTTTATTTCTAATTTATTCGCATAATAAGTTTTGAAAATAGAAGTGTATAAATTGTTTTCGCTTTATACAACGAATTTACCTAAGATGTCCAACCGTATTATTTATGTTTGAAACAATTATCTATTATTATTTCAATTGAAAGTGAAGTTTAGAATCCATAAAATTTATGTCTATCCTATTCATGGAAGACGAATACGTCACCACCTTTAATCAAGCACAAGTAAAAACTGTTAGAATTAATTTAATTAATTAATTCCATTATATGACTCATGTGAAATATAATAATGGGCCCAAATGTGATTTAATAAAATATGATGACCTATTGGTTATTATGTGAAGTCAGAATAAAATAAAGATAAAATAAAATATTAACTTACGGTAACCAACTTGATGGACGTTGGTTAATAAAAAGGATTAAGGTTCTGTCTCTGGTCATATAAGGTCTTTTTCACGGTAAACCATCAAGAAAGCAAAGCGTGAGAAGAGAAAGAAAGACAAAGAGATAGATTGGGAAAAGGAGATTGGAGAACGAGAAGATTAAAGAATATATTTTCATAAATCAAGGTTAGTTCTCTTATTATGATTTATGTATGTTATGTTGTGAAAATCAATAATCTAAAGATCCTGTAGAGTAGTTTTCTATAATAAATTAAGAACGTAGGAAAACTACAGAAAAGTTTACATGTGGTATCAGAGCCCAGTTATTAGATTTATGATTTTCCTTTTATGAAAGTTTTTCCTAAATTATGTTTTTCCCAAATTAAGATAAACCCTAATTATGAATTTAGGGATTTCTCTATCAGATTAGTATGAACCCTAATTTATTCCCAAATTTATTTTTCTCAAAATTAAATAAAGGAATAAACCCTAATTACGTTTTCAAGTTCAAATTGAAACCAATTTTATAGTCCCTATGCGTGAATGATCCTGTAATCCTTTCTAATTGAAAAGGCAAATGACGTGATAGGGTTAGGATGAATCATGTATGAAATTAGTTTCATTGTATGTTATAATTACGATGAGATGTTATAATTGTGTTATAATTACGATGAGATGTTATGATGGGATGTTATAATTATGATGGAAGAATGATAAACCGTAAAGTTGATAAACTTTGCGCATAGAGAGCAAGTGTTAAACACACAGGTTTCATATATTATATTATATTATTTATAATATTATTTTGTGTGTACATATTGGTTGGTGACTGGTGATTGCTTGAAACCATTTTGTCCCTATATTATTTTGTCCTCATATTATTTGTACATTATTTTGTACGTATATTTTTTTTATGTGGTCGAAGGATAATTAAAGAGTTATTTTTATGTTAAGGTGAGTTGTATAATATACTCATACTTGTAAAGTTTTGTTAAGGGTACTGTAAAGCTTTGTTAAGAGTACTTGTAAAGCTTTGTTAAGAGTACTTGTAAAGCTTTGTCAAGGGTACTTGAAAGCTTTTGTCAAGGGTACTGTAACCCTTTGTTAATGTACTCGTGAAACTCGTTAATGTACCTATAATGTAAACATTGATAAATGAATGAATTTTGTTTTGCAAACTGAATTGTATTGTTTCCATTGTGTTTAAATTACTCATAAAAGTTTTAAATGAATGACAATTTCACTTTTACGTGAAATGCAAATAAAGGTCTTGGATTCAAAATCAATCTTAGGATGAAAATTGAAATTATGAGTTTCAATTTTATTCATGGCACATAATATTTTATTATGTGAATAATGTACATATTTGTTAAAATTAATAATAATAAAAATGCTATGAATGGTTAATAGCAATTAAAGATATTATTTATTTGAAATTAAGCATGATAAATTTTGTTAGTCACCAAAGTGGCCAAAATTTTAAGATTATTTTGATTTCAAATTATTAATGATTTTATTTCAATTACCCATAGTATGAACGCTAAAATTATGAATAATGATTTATGGGCTAATTGAAGTTCATTATTATAAGGCATTTCAGGATCACCCAAAGGTTGATTAGTTGTTATTATAATTAATGAACATGAAAGTAGATAATTTTGTGTGCGTCACTAGTTTTATTTATATACCCAAAGGTGTTAGGTGATTCTAGTTGATGCATATTTTAATTATCATTAAAGTTATAAAAAGATTAGCGTAATTATGTTTGTGTATTAGTGGATCTCCCAAAGGAGAACATTAATATGCATAGAATGGTTATTTATGTTTGAATCTGTATTTATGTTTAGTTTTTATGACTCAAAGCGTTAATGTTAGGCATGTGTTAATTGAAGTATTTGTTTATTATGTATTTCTTACTTCGATCTGTTCGAGTCTTTAATAGATTAAATTCCCTGATCTGGAGTGAGAAAGTCCAATTTCACTTAGGTGAGTTGGATTTTGATTTGGCTTTCCAAGTTGAAAAAGCTGGTTGCTATCACTAATGCTAGTAGCAACAAAGAGAAAACTCATTATAGAGTTTGGAAAAGGTCAAACAGACTTAGTCTTATGTTTATGCGAATGAGTATAGCAAGCAATATTAAGTATGTTTTGTCCAAAACTAAGGACGTGAAAGAATTTATGAAATTTGTGGAAGAGCGCTCTCAAACTGCTGACAAATCCTTCGCTGGGACATTGATGAGTACGTTGACCACCATGAAGTTTGATGGTTTTCGTAGTATGCATGAACACGTAATTGAAATAACAAATATCACAGCAAGACTCAAGTATCTTGGAATGACAGTAGAAGAAAATTTTCTTATGCAGTTCATTTTGAACTCGTTATCGCTTGAGTATGGTTCGTTCCAGATGAACTATAACACCATGAAAAGCAAATGAAATGTGCATGAATTGTACAGTATGTTAGTTCAGGAGGAGACCAGACTCAAGAACCTAGGAAGCCACTCTATTCATTACGTGAAAAATCAAGGAGCTAAAAAGAAAGTTGTTAAGAAACATGGAAAGGGTAAAGGACCATTAAAGATTAACGAGTCCTCTACTAACATTCAGAAGAAAAATGACAAATGTCATTTCTGAGGGAAGTCTGGACATTTTCAGAAGGACTGTTTAAAACGTAAAGCTTGGTTCGAAAAGAAAGGTTAGCATAGTGCTTATGTATGTTTTGAATCAAATTTAACTGAAGTTCCCCATAATACTTGGTGGATTAATTCTGGATGTACGACTCGTGTTTCTAATGTAATGCAAGGATTCCTTTCAACCCGAACAATAAACCCAAATGAGAAGTTCATCGTCATGGGAAATAAAGTAAGGTTCCAGTGGAAGCTGTCGGGACTTATCGTTTAATCCTTGACACTGGATATCACTTAGACCTTATGGATACTTTTTATGTACCTAGTATCATTAGATATTTAGTTTGTTTGTCTAAGCTTGATGTTGCTGGATACTCTTTTAAGTTTGAGAATAGTTGTTTCAGTTTATTTAAGCGTACATATATGATTGGAACTGGTACACTTTATGATGGTTTATATAAATTGAATTTGGATAATTTATATGCTGAAACTCTCATGACCTTGCATCATAATGTTGGCACTAAACGTAGTTTGGTGTGTCTGAAAGGCGTAATCGAACCTTAATTGATATGGTTAGGAGTATGTTAAGTAATTTATGTTTACCTGTATCGTTGTGGATGTATGCTTTGAAGACTGTCATGTATTTGTTGAACAAGGGTTCCTAGTAAAGCGGTTCAAAAGACTCCTTTTGAGTTATGGACAAGTAGGAAACCCAGTATGAGACACCTACATGTTTGGGGTTGTCAGGCAGAAGTAAGAATTTATAATCCGCAAGAAAAGAAACTGGATGCAAGAACAATCAGTGGATATTTCATTGGTTATCCAGAAAAATCAAAGGGGTATATGTTTTACTGTCCTACTCATAGTACAAGAATTGTTGAAACTGGAAATGCTCGGTTCATTGAAAATGGTGAAACCAGTGGGAGTGAAGTTTCACGAAATGTGGAGATTAAGAAAGTTAGAGTACACGTTCCAATAACTAGTACATCTTCAAGAGTTGTTGTTCCAAATGTTGTAGAATTACACGACAATCAAGAAGAACAACAAATTATGATCCTGAGATTAACAATGATCCGATAATAGAATAACCACAGGAAATAGTATTAAGAAGATCTCACAGAGAAAGAAAGTCTGTTATTTCGAATGATTACGTGGTTTATCTACAAGAGTCAAAAAATGACCTAAGTATTGATAATGAACCAGTTTCATTTT